TCAGATATACTCTTACCATGGTTCAGATGATATACGACAGCACTTGGAGGTATACACTTGCATCCATCCATACATGCATACATAATGTGTATACATGTGTAATTATTTGTATTTTACTACTCAATGATCCTGTTTTATAGATTGATGCTCATGTCGGCGGTGTAAATGATCTAGCATTTTCCCACCCAAATAAGCAACTATGTGTGATAACTTGTGGTGATGATAAGACCATTAGGGTAAGTTTGTCAGAATGTGAGTTTGGTTTGTTGACATGGGGAAGCTGAATGTGTGGCTAACTAAATTTTGTAATTGAAGGTTTGGGATGCTGCTACGGGTATAAAACAGTATACTTTTGAAGGTCACGAGGCTCCTGTTTATTCTGTCTGCCCACATTATAAAGAAAACATTCAGGTTCAAATTGACTTCTGTACCTTTAGGGATTGTTTGTTGGGTTGGTTATCTTACTGATGTTCATTGTCTTTTGATGTTGTAGTTCATCTTTTCAACAGCATTAGATGGAAAAATAAAAGCGTGGCTGTATGACAATCTGGGATCCCGTGTTGATTATGAAGCTCCTGGTCGTTGGTGCACAACCATGGCTTATAGTGCTGATGGTACACGGTATATATTCTCAATAATGTTTACTTCTTTTGTGCTGAATCTTGCTGCATAGTTGATTGATTTACATGTCCTTTATTACCCAGTGTTTAAATGTTTTTGGCTATGATTGTGTGCTACAGGCTCTTTTCATGTGGTACAAGCAAAGATGGAGAATCCTCTATTGTTGAGTGGAATGAAAGTGAAGGAGCTGTGAAAAGGACTTATCAAGGATTTCGTAAGCGATCTCTAGGTGTTGTGCAATTTGATACTACCAAAAATCGATTCTTAGCTGCTGGTGATGATTTCTCCATCAAATTCTGGGATATGGATAATGTTCAGCTTTTGACAACTGTTGATGCTGATGGGGGTCTCCCTGTAAGTTAATTATTTATTGAAAGTTGGAGAGCCAGCCTCTATAAATTGTAGTTGCTTACTGGTTATTACCTGCTGTACACTCTAGGCAAGTCCACGAATTCGTTTCAATAAGGATGGAACACTTTTAGCTGTCTCTGCAAATGAGAATGGAATCAAAATTTTAGCCAATGGGGATGGTATTCGATTGTTGCGCACACTAGAGAATTCTTTATATGATGCGTCTAGAGCATCGGAAGCCTTGACAAAGGTAGACTTATAGATTTTATACTTTGCTTATTTCTTATGAATGAAACCTATTCTAACACAAGGCTTGTGGCAGCCGACAATTAATCCAATTTCTGCTGCTGCTGCTGCTGCCACTAGTGCTGCACTGGCAGAGAGGGCTTCATCTGTAGTAGCTATAGCTGGAATGGTTTGTGATCCTGTCCTTGTATATCAGTGGGACTTAGGATTTATTTGCATTTTACTTGTACTGTTCTTTTTCATGTTTCATTTATTGTTCAACATGCAATTCTTAATAAATAATGCGTATTCTTCACTTTCTGGGAATAGAAAATATCATACTTGTTATGAATTTATGGTAACTGTTATTTTATTACTTTAACTTGGTCAATTTCCTCTTGTAGAATGGGGATACTCGAAACATGGGAGATGTTAAACCTAGAATAAGTGAAGAATCCAATGACAAGTCAAAGGTATGGAAGCTCACTGAAATCAATGAACAATCTCAATGTAGGTCCTTGAAGCTACCAGAGAATGTGAGAGTAACTAAGGTATGTTAAACTATGATTGCAGTCTTACAAACATTTTCATGGTTAGATGTAGTTTTATCTCAGACCCATTTAGTCTACATTGCTAAGGGAAAAACTCCTTTAAAGTGAATTCGTCCACCCAGAGTTTAATCTTAAGTGCACAGAGATGATTGGACACACTCTTGGTTACTTACTTTAAAAAAGCCTTTTCCTATTGGTAACACTATCTTATGGACTTGGTTTATGCAACTAAGGAGAATGGTGTACTTTCATTCTTGTGAGGTTTCTCTTGCTAACTCCATTCCTTGAATGAAATTGTGATTTTTTTTGGACAGATATCAAGGTTGATATATACAAATTCAGGTAATGCTATTCTGGCTTTAGCATCAAATGCCATTCACCTGCTCTGGAAGTGGCAGAGAAATGATCGTAACTCATCTGGCAAGGTGTGAGAACATGAGAAGTTTCTTCTGTCAGACTCCTATTCTCTATTCAGAAATTGACATTCGGAATTATACTCCCTTTTGATGTTGATAATTCATCCTGTAGGCCACTGCTACCTTGCAACCTCAATTGTGGCAACCATCCAGTGGCATCCTGATGACAAATGACATTGCGGATAGCAATCCTGAGGATGCTGTACCCTGCTTTGCATTGTCCAAAAATGACTCATATGTAATGTCTGCATCAGGGGGGAAGATATCTCTCTTCAATATGATGACTTTTAAGGTAACCTATGAGCCTAGTCATTAGTCAAGACTATATTTTGGAATTATGTCAATCAAGCAATTTCAATCTTGGCTATGTGCAGACTATGACGACTTTCATGCCTCCACCACCTGCGGCAACCTTTCTTGCTTTCCATCCTCAGGATAACAACATTATTGCTATAGGGATGGATGATTCCTCTATTCAAATATATAATGTTCGTGTTGATGAGGTAATAGAGTTGTCTATTTGTGAACGGTTTGTACCCATGATTTGAGATTTTTGTTGTTAATGCATGGTTCTTTTGCAGGTTAAAAGTAAACTCAAAGGCCATACTAAGAGAATTACTGGTCTTGCTTTCTCTCATGTATTGAATGTGTTAGTATCATCTGGAGCAGATGCTCAGGTAATATTTGCTCAGTATAATAGATCCGTCTTCAGAATCTGATTTTTCTATGATTAAATTGTATAAAAGAACTTATAGTTTTGAATCTTACAGAGATGATATGGAAAGACTTTTGTACCCTGTTTACTATGCAGATTTGTGTTTGGAATACTGATGGATGGGAAAAGCAGAAGTCTAGATTCTTGCAGCTTCCTCCTGGTAGGACACCACCAGCTCAGTCAGATACCCGTGTACAGTTTCACCAAGATCAAATACATTTCCTGGTTGTGCATGAAACTCAGCTTGCCATTTATGAAACAACAAAACTAGAAGTTCTAAAGCAGGTTAGTCTCAGTTCCAATTTATCATGAGAATAATTTAGACAAAACCTTTTATCTGATGCCAATAGCGTCAATTGTAGTGGTGCCCGCGAGATTCATCTGCACCAATATCGCATGCAACTTTCTCCTGTGATAGCCAGCTTATATATGCCAGCTTTTTAGACGCAACAATCTATGTATTTAGTGCTTCAAATCTCAGATTACGTTGTCGTATCAATCCTTCTGCATATCTTCCTACGAGTGTCAGGTAATCCTTTTGTTAAATTAGTGGTATAAGCTGTGGCATGAAGAAGAATTATCTGTTTGATTTCGAAGAACAAGATCTAAAAATGCTTTAGTTTTTTTTTTTTTTTTTTACTTTGCTTCCAAAATGAGAGTCAATCTGAAACTGAATACATGTTACCCTGGATTATTGGTAGTTTAGAATATATTTATAATTAATCTTGAACATACTCTTTGTTGAATACTCACATTGTCTTCATGAAGCAGTTCCAACGTACAACCACTCGTAATTGCGGCTCACCCACAAGAGCCAAATCAGTTTGCTGTAGGACTGTCGGATGGTGGAGTTCATGTTTTTGAACCCCTTGAGTCTGAAGGCAAGTGGGGTGTGCCTCCTCCGATTGAGAATGGGTCAGCAAGCACCGTGGCAGCTACTTCAGTTGGACCTTCCTCAGATCAAGCTCAAAGATGATCCATGTCAGCCGAAGACAAGTTTCTTTTACACACTTGGCTTGCTGGCCAATTTTAAGAACTAAATTTGTACTTAACTTAATGCAGGGCACTCTTCAATTTAGTTGATCCAACTAAGTTAAATCCATGGATCGTGCTGTGCACAAAATCACATCATGCCAGAGCCCTGGAGCAACTCATTTGGTTGACGGCCAAAACCACATTGTAATTTGCCGATAGATGTGAAAAATTCTTTTTAAGTTTATTGCTACAGATGATGTACAAGTTATTTTCAGTGCTTTCAAACTGCTTCTGGCTATTTAATTAGATTGATTGATCCTAACTTGTTGCCTTATGTTAGTTCCGTTCTGGTCTTGCATGTAAAGCATGTAAATCACTGTGCTAACTTGTCTTCATCTTCATCGTTTCCATATGTCTATGTTTAAGTTTACTCCATGTTGTTACTAGTGTGTCACGTAGTGTACCCACGAAAGAGGAGTAAAGCACTAAATCAGTAGGCTTATACCATCGATTGGTTCAAGGTTCAGACACAAGTTATTTGCTTTTAGTAGTTGTAGAAGCTGTTTTTCTTTCTGTTCTTTGTGTATCATTTCGTAAGGTTTGTTTTAAAAAAAAAAGTGATAAAGTTATATTGTTATCTGTATAATTTTTTTGAAAAAGAAAGTGAAATGTTGGTGTAATTAAAATTGAAAATGTCAATAATGGAAAATGTTAAAAACCATGCGAAGGCCTTTTTGTGCATGAACGCACACATGTTTGACAAAGGACCTTTTATGGCTCTTCTTAAATTTTTACTATTTGAAAAACCATTCAATTTCAGATCTAACAATTTTTCAGTCAAATTTATTTTCTCAGAAAATGGTTAGTACTATCCCTCGTTGGAGGTGGCACTTGGCACGTTTTAAATATTAAAGAAAAAGGCCCAATTTAAACGTGTCAGCAATGAAGTTGGGGACAGCCTCTTCCTTCTGTCGATGACTGTTGTCATTAGATTATATGCTGCAATTTCTGGTTGCGTTGATGAAGGTCCATAAATGCATCATTTCACTTGGACCTACTGTACTTACCTAAGGTAGGGTCTAATATGAATATGTGATTTATTTTCGTACCCAATAAAATTGAGATCCCCGTTCACAGTCAGTGCTGTCACCTGTTTTGCACCAACACTGCCAGGGCCCCCATTTCGTCGATCAGATCAATTTCACTTTCCCCGAGTAAGAAAATAGCAGCACACCATAGGTTGTAAATTTCTCTTAATAACTATTAATTTTTTTAATAATATAATAAACTAAAATAATAATTCATTTTAAATATTAAATTATAAAAAAAAATTTCTAAGTCTTATTTTAGAATATATATATATATATATATATATATATATATATATATATATATATATATATATATATATATATATATCCAAGAGAATGATAGATAATTATGAAAAATAGTCTACCCGAAAATTCAGTTTCTTTAATACTTTTTTTTTTATATCCTCTTTCCTCGGTTACTTTAATTCTCTTCTTTTTTTTCCTTGGTTACTTTCTTCTCTTCTTTTGATTCTGTTTACCCGAACTAATTTATGATTAACTTTCGAGTGAAATAAATCTACTTATTGAAATATTAAAAATTTAAAACTTATTTTTATCCTTATGTTTATAATATAACTACTAAAATGAGTTTTAATATCACAAACTCCATAATTTGTATAATCTCATATGACAATCACCCGACTTCTGTGTTTTAATTTAATTAATTAATTATGATAAGATGAAATGGCCATAAGATGCCAAAAGTAAATGTGTAAATGAATCAAGTCAATGAAATGTAGGCTTAAAAAGGATTATTGAAGATTAACTAATTTATTTTAATAATTTTGATGTAAAACTTAGTTCATTTATGACATAACTATTTTTTTTTATTGTTTTCTTAAACTATTTTTATTTTAAATTAGTGTTAACAAGAATAATTTTATGTTTATGAAAAATGGTGAGTTTGTATATATGATTAACGGTTGTGGGGGTACTTACCATGACCAATAATTATAGGCATTCTTTATTTTTTATAAATTAGTTGTTGAAAAACGTTTATTTGTGATTCCATAGAGCGTTGAGAGTTTTGGTTCACTATCAAGTAAAAAAATCACAACTCTTGGTTACAGGTTACACTGCAATATATATATATATATATTAAGGATTTAACAGTAAAATAAATTTTTTATATTTCTAAAACAATTTTCATTCTTTTCCTGTCTAAAATTTAAAATAATTATTTGTGAACAAATTATGATTTTAGTCCCTTATTTTTTTTCATTCATTCAACTTTTGAAGTTATTATTTTTAAACTCAAAATTAACTAATAACATTTATTTCAAAACTATACTGGGAAATCATAAATTGATATCACATTATTAGTATCATCTAAAGTATTTGCTTCACCTGTCTTTAGACATGAATAGTTAACCGATACAATAAAACAAAAAAAAGAGGAATAAATATTAATTTTATATTTAAAAAATGAAAAAAAAGAAGACAAAAACAAAATGTACTCATTATGCAGCAATAAACACATTAAAACCCTTTAAATGATAATACACATTTTTATAATATCAAGAATTCACTTGGGAGTAGAAAACGTTTGATTTTATATTTCAAACGTGGCAAACAAGAAAAGTGAATTATTAGTCTATGAACACATGCTCAACAGAAAAGTATATTCGCCAATTTATCACCTTGAATAATACTGCAGTAGTAAACACGTCCTTGCATAATTCTTTTCCATCATATACATTTACAACACAAAACAAAAGAAAGAAACTTCGCACCACAAGTAGAGTTACACCTTCCATAAAGCCATTATTATAGCCTATGTACAATTTAAGGCTGTCTTTCCATTCTTCTCTGACATACATCAGTACGAGTGACATATACACATACATAGACATATATATACACAGGTCAGAATACTGCATTAACTAACCTGGCCGAAAGCTTACCAGATTCGGGAGGTATATTGATTTCAGTTTCTTCATGTCATTTGCTGTCACCTTACAGGATTCCAATGTCAGAGATCGTAAGTTCTTCAGTGTTTTCAAATGCTGCAGACCAGCATTGGTGATACGAGAATTTGAAACATTCAAAGAAACCAACCCAGTGAGCCCTGAAATTATGACCATAAACGTGTGATCACAGACATGTTGCTAACTACAATCACATAAGTTTCACGACTCTGCACAAAGGAATAAATGCAAACCGTTCTTCACTAAGAAATAACAATTTAAGGCAGGGAGAATTTTTAGCAACTATTATCACAGGACCCTCATGTCTAGAGCTTAATAACATATGGTTTTGCGCTTTGAGAAAAAGAAGAGTACCAAGCCTCGTGTAAAAAAAAACAGGATACAATGATCTTTTTAGTGAATGAATGGCACAACCTACACATACAGAATAACCACATTGACAAAAAGATCAAGTCAAAGGGACCAGCAAGCAGATAGCTTGGCAGAACTTGTGCCAACATACCAGGCTCTGGTTATATCCAGCCACCACTAGAATATAGCTTGCATACCGTGTTAAACTACTGCCAATGCATGTCCCGATCAAGGTATGCATGCTTGATTTCTAGACAAAGATTCATCGAAAATAAAGACAATCGGGGACCAAAGCTGACATAAGACGGAGTTAATTTTAGATGCCTCTTCATAACTTCAAATTGGGTTATTGCCTTCGTACCTAACTTAACTCCACTTTTCAGCACAACCAAAATATTTACATACTAACTGCAGAATTCATTTAGGACTTCACATTTTCCAACTAGAAGCCCCTTGATTGAATAACCAACTAATTGAAGCATTTTGGACTTTGCCAAGCAGACACACTTGAAAAATAAAATGCATCTGATCAAGTTCAATCTGTAGTCCAAGCCTTTTTTATGTGATTATTTAGGTTTTCAACTTGGTTAAGAAAAAACAAAAGGCAAACAGAATGAGACCGCATGCTTCTCAGACAAAACAAAGGAATACAAAAGTACCAGAAATTAAGTCGAGGGTTTTGTCTGTGAGGTTGCTGTTTTGTGATAAATTTAAGCAGACCAGAGAAGAAAGCTCTTTGATATTTTTCACACCAGCATCAGTCAATGCTCCACCACATATTTCCAAAGACCTCAGGTTCTTAAATTCTGTTTCATCACAAAGAAAGTTGACAAACCAATGAACTCAACTTGTAATGGACTCGATCAAAGAGCATTAAAAAATCTTCCAAGGATAAAAAAGGTTGACAAACTGCATATTACATGCGTAAAGTTAACATTTAGTGATCAGATCGAACTAAAAGCATTAAAAATTAATAGATAAGCATTATCCAATAATATTTCAGATAAAATTAGCTCATGTAATTTAACTGTAAAATAAAGACAAGACATCTTCTATTTGTCATATAAAAATTAGAAACAAAACAAAAGGCCAAAAAAATAAAAGAAAATCACATTATAATGGAAAAAGTAATCAATATATCCACGAATAATCATGTCCGAAGTAAATATTTAGTGATATATTGCATACTTTTCAAATAATTTGTACCGAAATCCGTGATTCGTGCACCAAACAAATCCAGGTCAGTGAGGCCAGTCAAACCTGCATTGTCAAATTCAAAATTATGCATGCTGCAAAATTAAGCCTTAAGATTATAAAAAAAAAAAAAAAAGCTAGAATACCTAAAGCTTAAGAATAGCAAAATTTGTGCCAATTCAAGGAAAGACTAACTGGAAATATGGTCATATATTTCAAGAGTTTAATTTCTACGCTCAGTCAACGATTCAATGTAAATTTTTTTTCAGACATCCAATACGAGTTCATTCGATCACCACTTCATCCTCTTGGATGCATGTGTAAAATATTTTACAGACAATGAATGCATAAAAATTAAATTCATATTTTAAACTGTGGTGAAAAGAGAGTGGGTAATCGATTGGACTGAACAGGATTGGAGCCCAGGTACAACCTAAACAGAAATAAACAAGCCATTGTTTGAATTGTAAATCTGAATAGAAATACGTACTTTTAAGGTTTGACAGCCCAGAATCAGTAATTTGGTAAGCATCCAAATTAAGTGACTTGAGAGATGAGAGTCCACACAATTTACTTAAACCACCATCACTAACCATGGTAAAAGACAGATTTATTTTCTGCAGATTAGACAATCCTACAAGAAATAGAATAAAAAAATAATCAACAAGAAAGTAGAGTCTATGAAAAGATAGTCTCAGAATGCACCTCATGTAGTAAGAATCACAACTCAAAGAATGTCGCATGTCTTGCTGATGGGTTCTTTAATACTAAGCAGTTAACCATGCGAGAGAATAGTATAGGAGAACATCAAAAGTTTGCCCGAACATTCAAATGTAGAAAAGCGATAAATCTAACTTCAAAAGAAAAAATGAAACTCCAAACACGAAATATAGAGGGGGGCATCACCACGAGTCCCAAATGCCAAATCAGATGAGATGCAATAGGTACAACGACCAAACATAGGTTTAGATGCAGAGAGTATCCCTCAAAATTACTGACATAACCAAAACATAGTTATCAATAATTTAGTAGTGTAGTGTTGCAGAACAGCCCAGAACTTCTATTATCTCTACTTTGAACTCTCAAACTCCTCTTTCTGAACACTGTAGCACCCACCCTGGCCTCACTTTTTATCGGGTGTTATGTCTTGTCTTTTAAAATTTGATAAATATGAACATGCCTTTCAATTTTGTTTCCCTGACTTTTTTGTTATTTACTCATGTTTTGATTAAAACCCATGACTTATTATCGATAAATATAAATATGTCATCAATGTTTAGTACTTCATTTTTTGAATCGCAAGCATTTATATGTACATAGTATAAATTATTTAATCTACTTAAAATAGAGGCCATCTTGCTATAAGTTATACTCTTGTAGCAGAACTCAGCCAAAGAAGCACACAAAATCTGAAAGTAGTAAGGATCGGGCATATAGAACCTGATAAATGGTGTAGCCCATTGCTTCCAACTTCTGTATCAGACAATTCCAAGCAGTTCAATCGCTTATGGCCTTAAAACATTAAGAAGAAAATGTGAGTCACATATTCACTCAAGACAGAAATGTGCATTTCCAATGACAAATCACATGACCAAAATCTTAAATTAATCATTTGCAACCACTTATGCCATGTGGATAACGTGCTAATTTATTTATTTTTTCATTTTTTTCTATCCAAAAATCTTAAATTAAACTCTCCCTTTTTTTTTGTCATTTAGACAAAGAAACAGATGAAATTCCATATCCAAAAAAAGATAGGGAATTTAACCATCTACCTGCCAAATTGACCAACCCTTCATCACTAATCTTACATGAATCAAGGTTCAAGCTCTCCAACTTTGTCAATCCTGTTTGAAAACATACATCATATTGTTAGATACAATCAATTTCTTTCAAATACATTTACAGTCCTAGCATAACTGTTTTATATTTTTCTGCTATATGTGTTAAATAATACACAAATATTCAGCACATGCATAAATGTAATATGTACAAAATAATAACCAAGGCAATATTTGTGAAGTAGAGATTAACCAGTAGAGATTATATCGTGAACAATAAAGATTACAATATTGAAAGTATAACTTCCCAAGGAAATATTTGTGAAGTAGAGATTAACCAGTTATCATTGCTAGAAAAGTAGTCTTGAAGAGTCAACATATTAGAGCAATACTTCCAAAAATTGTGCCAAAATTATTGCCCCAAATGACGAAATTTCTAAAGCAGTATCACCTCATCAAACGAATTTAAAAAGGTATAGTTAAGGCCCACAACAGACAATATCTACAACAAATTACTTTAACTTCGGTTGTGAATAATTTCCTTATTGTAGTTATATTTTATAAAATTTTAAATATATATTTCAACTTTAAATCAATTGACATTAAATACTAAAGCGTTAAGCACACTAGGTTCGGACAGATCCCTCCAAAGAAGTCTGTTAGATTAAGTAATATTCTATGAGATTTCATCTTAAAATCAATTGATATCAAATGAAATTGCCTAATAAATATAAACCACACCCCTAATAATTTAAGTCATGTGGGACTTTACAATATGCGCTATTAGCTAGCATTAAGCTTGAGTTACGTCTGCTCATTTTTAATAGAATATCAAAATTTACTCAGCCTTGAAGTTAGGCTGCCTACAAATGTTTAATCTTGCAAACTTCAAGCTCCAAACAGTCCAATCTTGGATGAGATGGACATACTAAGATATCCCCCATTAGCTTGGAATATGACCAAAATACTCCTTACAAGATTCAAGCAATCCTCTTCATTTGAGCTAGCATATGGAGGGGAGTTGAGTTAGATTTTATCCTTTTCAAATGAATAATTTGATGCATGACACAGATGACTAGGACTGCCACATAATTGGAGACAAAAGTCTCAAAATTTTATCTAGGGCATTTAGCACTATATTCTTGGTTCCACATTTATCATTCTTGGAAAAGGTTAGGCTACCTAGTTGCCCATATGGCATGCAAGAAATCCATTAGAAAGGTATACAGGTGCCCACTTGAAAGTTTATAGATGGCTTCTATCTTCACAGTAGACCAGGATGAATATAGGAAAATAGAGAGAGCAAGAGAATTGAAATCACCTTTCAAGTGCATTAAACATGTATCTGTTACGACATTAAATCCCAAGTTTAATACTTTCAAATTTTCCAGTCCTGTAAAAAAGGTACTGTTACATAAGTAATGCCTCCAATAATGTTCATAGTGTCAAAAAATAGAACCCAAAAAGATCTTATTATTAAATATACAGCTTGAAAGAAGTAACTGTACAGTTCTTAACAACTTACGTGAAAATTTTTTGCATCCATTGTCAGAGAGATTGCATCTATTAAGATTCAAGTTTGACAGTGCAGGAAGCTCTGACACAAAACATAACATCAATGGACAACATTCCAGGTTCATTAGGTCATTATATACAAGAAAGACACGAAGTTACACCAACATTCAACAAACAGTTCACTGATAATAAAAAACTAATGGATCAAAATAATATGCATCTTTAGCTCAAACCTTTTCTGTTTGAGTCAAGCAAAGTCAATAAAATTAGAACCTCAAAGCTACTGAATAACCAAATATGAAAATACTGTGTTAACATTATAAATTATTACAAACAAAAACTGGGTTCCTTTGGTAAAGGTACTAAAGCTTGGACCGAATTCTCTCCTATCTCAGAAAGCTAAGTTTAAATACTTGGAATCACATTCCACAGCCCAGGATTTTCTTTCTAAAGTTTCACATTTAGTAGACTTTCCCTGCTCAAATTACAACCCTCTTACAGAGGTACGCTAAATGGATCCTAACTAACACAATGTTTATGCTTCAAGCTTTAAGCATGCAAAAAGAAGAAGAGTAGGATTTAAACATTAATTAAGCCAATAGCCAAGAGATTATTCCCCACCAAACAGTTTGATTCTAGTAAGCCTAAATATAACCATAACAAGATTGATTAATAGAATAAGCATAAAAATCTATGAAGGAATACCTGCAAGAGAATCCAAGCAAGCAGCTGTTACAAGGCACCCTTCTAAATTTAACAGCGCAAGCTTCTGTAACCCTTGAATGAACAAGAAATATTGAAAATAAATCAGACAGATAAATATGAAATGATGAAATTTGAAATTTCCTTTTAACTGGTAAGCTGGGACAATCATGCATTGTCACTGGGATCTACACTCAACTGTACAACTTCTCTAATCAACAATTTAACGAAGATCAACTTTAGAATTATAATTGACAAGAGAAATTATTTCATCATAAGGAAGACTTTGTATGAATACATTTTTAAATAAGTATTCTGAGTTACACATTTGTCTATTAGAATCGATATTTATCTGAAACTAAAAGAAAAAAAAAACTAAATTGATCTTTAAAATAAAACATCGATTCTTTAAACAATGAATATTTCTTAATTCCATATAGCCAGTCTGTACAGAAGAGAGACAAATGAAATTACTTTGAGGAAAACAATACCTTTCAGGAAACTCATGCCAAAATCAGTGACTTTACTTGATGAAATCTCTAGACTTTTCAGGCTAGCAAGCTCTGGAAGTAAATTCAATCAGATAAAATGTCTTGCTGATTACTGAACAATATGTCTAACAAGATGGCAATGATTACTTCTATAAACACAATGGCGTGCTGACAATTATTTGTTGCCAAATACAGATGTTACGAAGTGTTCTTTTCAAGTGATATAAAATCAATCAACTCAAGGTAAATAAACTTGGTAAAATACGTTTAGGAACTACTGTGGTAGAAAACACACTAATTGCACAAAGAAAGTCTAGAAAATCAAACTTGGTTAAAAGTTTCAGTTACTGTAATCAAAAGAAAGTATGATGTTTTGCAACAAACCTGAAAGAGGTTTCATATCATAATCTGTTATGCAATTACACCACTTTAAATTGAGAGATTCCAACTTGGTCAAACCTGAAAATATGGACCAAACCATTTGACTGAAGTTACATGGAAATCAAGTCTGTTCTATTGTTCAAGTGTTCATGCTACAAGAATCACGGTTACTGTAATAGAACTCTTTCAACCTTTTACAGTGTACACTTGTCACCAAATACATAATTGTAAGTCAAAAACAACCAATGATATGAAAATGTATAGTCAGTTATTAATTCCTTATTTTAGCTATCCATAGCACTTGTCAAGAATGGACAGAAGGTAACAAAAAATATTAACCACTTGGGTGTTCAGTAAATTGCCTTCTGCTTAATTGACAGCACAATGTCAATTGTAAGTTCAACGATCTAACAACTGTGATAGACATCATACAATAATACCACATCATGGGATACTTACAACTTAAAGAAGTTAGAAAATTTGAACGTTGTTTTTAATGTTGTATTATAACTAAGTCAGTAAAGCTTTACTTTGAACAAAATTACATCTAAGAACCAACCTCGAAGATGAACGAGGCCTCCGTGAATCCCAGGACATCTCTCCAAATCCAACTTGATCAAGTTAACAAGACCAGAAAAGACACTCATTCCTTGAGCAGAAATTGAATCATTTCGTCTAAAACTCAAACTTGTCAAGTTTGACAGGCCTGGAATATTTTATTACATTTGTTGTAAAACTACATAAGAGCATCTTATGGACAAAGCTTCTAGATGTAAGTAATTTCACATGACTATCTACATAATATGCAAGACACTTTGATGAGAAAAAAATAAAAATATGTTATGCAATGAAAAAGCTAAGGCAGATGGCAGAGGTAAACAAAAATATATGCAATGAAATGCATGAAAACCACTTCAACATCCCTATTAAGAATTCATTGTGTCAAATTGGATTATCCATACAAAACTTTAACTCATACTTGAACTACAACAATCCTTCTCTTAAGTAAGTCTCTTCCACATTAGTTCACTTGATTGAACTGAATCTATAAGACGATTCATCGACTCTGATATTAGAGTTCGGTAATAACAAGGGAAGAAATAATGAAGAAATATTCACAAATGAGCCATGAATCAACCCCATAAGATAACATGACACCACTTTAACCCAAAACCTCAAGAAAATAGGTTTGTAAGTCACTATGTTTTCTAACTTTCTCATTTCTACATAATGTGAGATTACAACTTACACTTGAACTCCCACATAAAAATGATATATTAAGATGTATAACAGCAAAAATAGAACAAAACAAAATAGCATGTAGATTATCAACATCATATTTCTGTGTGCATTTGTCCAATATTAACTAAAAGTAAATTAAAGATAGGTGTGTCAATTGGAAATAAATTTTCCTAAACAATAGAGAAAACTTCATAGGGAATTCTGGTAAAAAGTTTCCAATTTAGGAAATTAACCACCCCAAGTGGTTAATGACATTCAATAACAATTAATGAGTAAATACTTATTCCTTTAACTTATACTTGAACTATCAATGTTCTTAAATAAGATATCATTTACCAAGAATTTTCATTTATTCAATTTTTTTTCAAGAAAGGCCTAGCCATTGCCTCAAAAAAAATTATTTTTATGAACTGGCATCATGAGTATGCTAGGCTAACTTTTAATAGTTTTCACGTTATAAGTAACCCCATTTCCACATATTGAATATAGACACAGTTTACCCAAGGGATATTAAGATATTTTTAATTCTTTTAATGAAGAAATATATAAGATGCCTAAGGACTAGCACCCAAGAGCAAATATGAGAAATAAATGAATAACTGCTGATGCATTGCGTGTGATCTTATAATAACACATAAAAGAAAGAATACCACTAATACACTCTAGTCCACGATCAGATATTTGATCACAGTAATTTAGATTTAAGGAAATGAGACTTTCACAATCTTTAAGATATGTAAGCCCAAAATCAGTGACATCAGACCCAGAAAGATCTACAGAAAGTAAAGATGATCCCTGGGATGAGATGACGCCCATCCAATTATCATTAACCCCGTCATACTCTCCTAAGTGAAGATCCTGTAAAAAAAAAACTATTAAGAACACATAATCAACCAGGTTCATAGTTGACTTAAAATGATTTACCTGGAGAGCACAATCTTGAAAAGCTTCTAGGGAAGCACTGGTTAGACGTTGGGAGTAAACCAAATTATTAAAAATTAACTGACTTATATCCCGTGGCAGCATAGAAAATGTGTTATATTTATCAATATCCTGTTAGAAAAAGATTGCAGTGATTAGATCTAATCATAAAAAAATAAAGGGTCTGAACAAAGTAAAGTAACAAATCTTTTGTTAAAAGAAAACCTCATTTATTTTCTGTATGCACAAGTCCAACAATGGTGGGCATTCTCCTTTTCGTAAGTGAAAGTCAACAGATGGACAAGAAAAAGAGGACGTCCACCATTTCAAACTCCCACATTTGCCATATCGTCGTGATAGTCCTCTGGTAAGACTATCTTCATTGTCCTGCTCTTGCTTCCTAGAACACGCTCCCCCCATTCAGAAAATATTCCCGTCACCAATGTCAAAAAACTTGCGGCAGAACACTAGTGTAATCCCCTCAATAACCAACAGCTAACATATGCAACCAACTTCATCCTATTAAAAAGACCAAAAATAGTAATAGCTGAATAAGATTTCAGCAACTTGATCATTCAGCAATTGGCTTCTCTTGAATCCATAAACAAGTTCTACCAACAACATCAACCTCATCTAAAAACCAAAGACCAAAACAGCCAAATCAACTTGAAATATCAGCAACTGCACAAAAATAAGCACTTACCATATTTGTCTTAAGCAATAGTGCACAGCATATTTCTAGTTAGATATATAACTACCAGCACATGATGCAAAATATCAAAATGCATATGAACCAAGCCATAAGCCTAACACACATGCATCAACTTGACAAACAGCAGGAAAAAGGTAGAATACACTCAGTCCTCACAGTGCACCGAAAAAGAACATCTATATGCAGAATCAAACGGATTCATCCTTGTAAAAATACACAAGTTCAAAACACGGCAAATAGGAATTACAATAAATAAAACAATAAATACACAACGTGAAAAAGTATAATACAATAAATGTTCAAAATATTTTGTAAAATAAAAAATATATAAAAAGTGAACTTGCAGAGAAATATTAGAGAGATTAAAAATGGAGAAGAAAATATCCATAAATTTCATAAACGAGAATGTCTATCTATAAGCTTACAACAAATTAAAATCCCTATAAGATCAAACCTACAATTAGATTTATTTAAAATTTAAAGCAATTAACTCAAAAGAAATCAAAACATATAAAATTTTCAACTTTAAAAAAATCACTATCTAAAACTTATTTAAAATTCAAATTCAAGTAAAGGAAAATCTCATAATTTTAACGGCCCAAACAAGAGCAGAACGTCTGTAAGTAAAATCAAACGAAGATCGGATTCATCCTTATAAAAGTACACAAGTTCAGAACACTACAAATAAAAATTATACTTAAAATAAAATAATATGAACGGCACAATAGTTGTGGCAATAATAATAATAATAATAGTAATAATAATAATAATAATAATAATAATAATAATAATAATAATAATAATATATAAAAAATAAACAACGAAATTGTCATAAAATACACTAAAATAGGAGAAAAATTAACCATACACAACTACAATACAAATAAACATACAAAGTTAAATAATTAAATAATAGTGGTAATATGAGAAGAACCAACGGCATAGTAACAAGATACAAGCAATGATCGAACTGCAGATAACATGAACGACCTAGTAATAAGTTACGAGCGATGATCCAACAGCAGAGAACACAAACGAAGCATACCAATAAGTTACTGACGATGATCGAACGTCAGAGGGCAGCAGAATCCACAGATTTTTGTTGAAGGAAAGAATTCAGAGAGGAAAAGAACAACGGAACGAAAGACAATTGTAGAAAGAGTGAACCGAAATACCAGGCAGAGTTTGTAACGAAAGGGAACTGAGAAGAAAATAGCAAGGTAATTGCAGGTGAAGTTAAAAACATGGCAGTGAGTGCGAGAAGAAAAGAGTGGAGGTGGTTGGGGATGTGGCTCGTAACCGAGGCTCCGTCCAGGCTCCATCCGAAGCAAGCATCGGAATACACGTGGCGAAAATATTAGGTTAGGCATTGAGGAGAGGTGGGATTCTCTTGACTTTATCCATTTCGAAGAGCAGGTGGGACGCACTCGGTTGCCTTGCGAACTTTGTGCACGCAATCATGCAATTCATCAAGCTACTTAACCATTGTTTTATATCTTCGTTTATTTTTTTATTAATTAATTTATTTTATTCCTCCATTTATTAATTAAAAATCATGGCATCGCTTGTTTCTACTTCCACCCTAATTAACCATGCGTCCTTTACGCTATTGGACGAATCAATCCAACAAATATCAAATTGTATAATTGACGGGTTCTCTTAAAAGAACACTTGAGTGTGTAGTTGATTTCATTCTGAATTCTTAAAAATCACTACTTAATGTGATCTTGATTAAATTTACATATAATTATTTTTATATTGAAAAGTTCATTATGAATTCAGAATTGAATAAGTAATTTTTTAATAGTTTTTTTCTTTAGATAAAAAAATATTGAGTTCTAATACAAAATTTGCTAGGAAAAGAATCTAATTATAACTTATTTATTAGTACATTACTTCCGAATTAATTTTTTCATCGCTCATCTAAACACACACTAAAGCCTCTTGAGTGATCAATATTATGTAAATACCTCAAATATCTAACTAATCAAACACATCATATGCTTGTTTTCCTCTGAAAGGAGAAAATAAATTATTTGACCATTTGACAATGTAAGTGCCGAATTCAACTTATTTATTATTTTGGAAAATAATTAAATATGTTTACTTTACTTATGAGAGGAGAGAATAGTATATACAAGTTTCAGGAAACTCTGCAAGTTCCTGTAAAAGAATTGCAAGCGCAATACGGTCGAAAATACAGTACACATTCTAACAATAAGAATCTTCTCTACGAGTTCTAATAACATCACGTTTGATCTTCAGTCTCCATGCATGAACTACTGCATACAATTTTGCGCAAAGTTCACAAGGAACTCAGATCTTTAGCCCTGAATGGATAGCAACCACTCCCCCAACCAGATTCTCATACTCTACTTTCTGGAACCCAGCATCCGCAATCATCGATGCAAATTTTTCCTGAAATCCATCAATTACAACACATTAGTTAGCACAATACCAAAAAACAAGTAGATAACTCAGAAGGAAACTTCTTCCTATCCTAAGTCTCACCAGAGAGGTTTCTACACAATTCTTACGATGGCAAGTAAACATAAGCAAGTTTTCCATCATTTTTAGACATTAAATAAAAGCTACACAAAACTAGAGAACAGATAATATTTCCGAGTAAAAACTAAAAGAACATATTAATAATTTAGTGACAAAATTTTTATATTTAAGGTTTTGCTTGGCTTCATAATCAACAGGATAAAGCGTGGGCCTAAAAACGAGTGTTCCTCTGTTCATGTTATGATGTAGTCAACTTATATACATTTTATTAAAACGAAAAGACATATCTACTTTTCCAAATGTTCACCCAAGCAGTTGAATGAGAATGTAGAAGACTGCAGATAGTAACACAGTAAACAAAGTCTCTAATTGCTTTCTTCTCTCGGGTTTCAATTAAATGATAAATAATATAGGAGATGTTCGCCATGAACCGATTAGCCAATAACTCATCTTCCTCACTCGAAACTTAGTTCAGATCTTTCACCAACATACTTGACGGGACGGTAATAAAGTGTAACCAAGCCATATTGAGAAGCACCAATAGAGCAGTTCACAAATGCAAGCCCTCGCAGCCCTTTTCTTAGAGAAATAAAACAGTAAAAGAAAACATGGATAGCTATCAGTTGATGGAAAGTGTGATAACCTGTGAAGGGAAGCGCCTGATACTCTCAACTAAGTACTGATAGGATTCCCGATCACCAGCAACCAACTCACCCATGTATGGAATAAATGAGAAAGAATAATAATCATACCTACATACAAGAGGACATGAGTAACATTAAACTGAAAGTTGAATTTAAGTGCACAAGGAGGCCATGATTCTACAGTAGTTGGCAGTTTGTAGTTTGGGTACCATTTGGTTGGCAAGGAATGCCTGTGTTTGAAGAGTATCACTTCATCCTATCATCTATTCATGTCTATCTCAAAGGGGTTTCCAGAATTTTCCAGGGTTTTAAGTAAATTAAAGTGTATCTTAGTGATATTTTCTTTCTCAAATGTGAATAGAATGCACATATGGCCCTATCTTCCTTATCAAATGTCAACCACCTACGCTCATCATTCGTGTAAATGACACTTACAAATCTTTAAATATAGGAATACCAACGTGGCTAAGTTCAAGGCAAAGGAACCTTCCTCCTGTTTTCAATACCCTGTTAAAGAGAAAAAAATAATAATAAATATCATAATGATTCATCATACAATCTAATTGATTCCCATCAATGCTACCCATACAAGTTATAGCAAGGTCTTGAAAAAGTGCAAACCTACCTATGAGCTTCATTAAGTGCTTTCTCTATGTGTGTAACATTTCTTATCCCGAATGCAATAGTATAACCATCCATTGAATCATTTTGGAAACTCAAGCTTTCAGCATTCCCCTCCACCCATACAAGGGAAGCATCTTCTCCAAAACCTATTGTAATAAGCAGAAAATATTCATTCCTAGCAAATAAAGATATATTAAACCAAAATCCTTCATGAAAGTTTAACCTAATTGTTGACAGTTTAAGACTTTCTCATTTACCCTTCTCCAAGGCCCGCTGTTTGCCAACATTTAACATCTTAGGGTTAATGTCACATACATAAATCTGAGTTTCCGCCTCTAAAGTATCTTGTAAAACACCTTGAAGTCCTCTCAGCTTAACTTTGTTTATGTTCTCCAAGATTCTAAAAGCAACATCCCCTGGAAAATCAATAACTTTAAGCTTGATACCAAAACCCTTAAAACTTTTAAGAATGCATGCAACAGCAACATCAATTAAATTCCTGAGAATCTTATCGAGGTGAAGTAAAGCCTGTATTAAATCATTACAAAAGCATCTTACAACTATATTCCTCAAAATAATCTTAAACGTATATGAAGCACATACATCTTACAGTTCAAAAAGTTAAAATGCCACCATACGAACATGAAGATGCCTCAAATTCCATTTACTTTATGACTTGTTTAACCCAGCAACAAAGTGCTCAGAAATAACCTAACCCAAAAAGTAAATATTAAAGAAACAAATAAAAAAAAATTTATTGTGCTTAGCACTTGGATATGCAACAACAAGAACATTTGACGTTAGAAAGTGGAACAATTTGCTCCAAAATTAAAAGTTTTATAATCAGCAAAATTGGAGCAGGCAGACAACATGTTTGGTCAAGTAGCTTGTGAACTAAAACCTCTCCCTCCGATCAATTCACAATTCCTTCATTTCTTTCAGACACTTACTTTATAGATTTAGTTCAGATGCAAATCAAAAACATCACAGTGCATCAATTTAATTCACACTGTAATCTTCACAAGCTTACACAAAGAAACAAAGTATAAAAATCAGTGACAGCGTCACAGACCTGTGCCACCAGCCACATCAAGATGCTTCATTCCAGGAAACGGATTCAGCTTGGAGACTAACCTGGGCAGAAAATAATCACAAATTTTAGCCAATTCCAACAGAAAGAGCAATATGATTGAAATGATTATTATTATTATGGAAACGAAAATGTAATATAAACCTATCCTTCCACAATCTGTGCAATCCAACACTCATAAGGTCATTCATAACATCATAGCTCGAAGCAACGCTCGTGAAGACATCACCAACCATGCGAGCCTTCTCTTCTTCGTTTACTTGTTTGAACCCTGAAAGTGTGCCATTACATCGATTTAGATTTATTTTATTATTATTTACTTTTTAATTGTGAATTGAAAATTAATTGCTGTGCAGAGTAGAGAGTGTAAGCGAACCAAAACTGGTGGCATGAGAATGTAGTAGTCTGTGAGTGGAAGATAACGCGGTGAAGAGTTTCGTCCCTAACCGTCGCGACACCATTCCCAAAGCCATGGATTCTGGCGCTGAAGGAGAGCGAAAATAGAATCACGACCAGAATCAGAAATGTTGATTGATTAATCGGTTGATTGCATGAACGTGGTTGTGATGATTGTTATTTTTGAATGTAATGCAAGGTTCGGCATGGAGATGGAGAGAAAGATGAAAGAGAGAGAGCCAAGAAACAACACCCGACCCGAGGCTTAGACGAGGCAACCGCCAGAGCCGTCGCCTCAGGATCTCTGTTCAACTTGGACCTCTTGCTCAATCGATATGGGCCAGCCCACTCAGAAACATGCAAAAGCCTATTGCTTCCGCACCCATAATTTCTATCTACACCCTTATTTTTTTTTATGAATACCCTTGAGTTTATTTGATTGTGAGGTAAAATAGGTTTTCTAATAACATTTTCAAAAAAATTATAATAACTTATTAATTTTTTATCGATGTTAAATGAAAAAAAAAGTATAATATATATATATATATATATATATATATATATATATATATATTCTCTATTTCTTTTAATTTTTTTAAAATTTTTCTATCAAATATAAAATAATATATTGAATAATTAAAAAAATGACATTTTTTCTTCATGTATTCAATTACCGATATTTTTAGTTTCCTTCTTTTTACAATTGCGTCTCAAGTTGATTGATCTCTAATAATTCATAAATAAACATTTATATTTTAAAATTAATATATTTATATATATATATATATACATATCAATTTTTAATAAAATAAAATAAAAAATATAATAAAAAGGTGGATACCGACAATATATTATAAAAAATCTTAAATATCTAAATTATTTTATACTTATGATGAATAATTTAATTGTTGATATAAATTTATTTTGAATTGTTGGTATTTTCAAATTATTGTTGAATTTTATTTTAGTCATAGAGATAAAAGTAAAATGAGTGTAATTTAAAATAAATAAACAAAAAATTGAATCATTTGTATAAATAAATAAATGTAATTTTATAATACGATTAACACAGTGAAACAGTCGTTCCCTTATATTGGATACAGCACGAGATAAAGTTATGGAAGAACAATTGTGACAACTATATCATAGACATTATTAAAATATATAGTGACTTGTTATTATTACTTTATTAACATTTGAGGTAAAATATTTATAATAGGTGAATCAATTTGACTTCAGATTGCGATAAAGAAAATTCCTCTTAAATCGACCTACATGATTAATGCTTAATAATAGATCAAGTACTAATGGAAAGAGTATATATATATATATATATATATATATAATCAGAATTTATTAAAAGAAATAAGTTATAATTAATTTCTAATAAAACTTTTAAGTAAGGAGGGTTTCAATTAAATTGTAAGATAGTTAGTTAGTTACTTCAGAGAAGCCACCTTATCTATGATAAATATAAAAATGATTTTTTCTTCATATATCACATATATATATATATATATATATATATATATATATATATATATATATATATATATATATATTCTTATTAATGATAGTTAAATATCAATATTAATAAAAAATATTTTGAAAATATTATAATATATAAATAAATATAATCTTAATCTTATTAAACCAGTGTTTTATGATTGAATTATGTATCATATAAAAAAATTCTAAAGATTAATGACATTAACATATATTTTCAAGTTAAACTTTGTAATATTAGTCATAAATAAAAATAACATTTGAAGTTGTTTGTATGAAAAAATAATAAAAAAATAAAAATGTAAAAATTGGAGGAAGATAATATTTTAACATTGTAAGTAGAAAGAATTTCCGAAATGTGTTTGAATTCATACTAAAAAAACCACTACGAATTATTTGAATAGGAAGACAAATAGAACGTATTTTTCTTCCTTATCCCGTGTCTTTCATAAATATGTAGTATAAGTTGTTATGCAATATTATATTAATATTTTAATTTAGAGCAATGTTGATAAAATCTGATTTGTGTGTCAAATTAATGAAATTATTTCCAATATGATGTTTTTATTTATTTTTTAATTATTAGTTATCACCATTTGATTGTTTTAATTATATATTTACAAAATAATTTTAGTGGTGGAGTTTCTTTTATTTTGGACTCATTTACTTAATTATTGTTATTAATCAGAAAAACAAAATAAAGTGAAGAAAACAAGGGGGTGGGGTTTTATTGAAATAGTCAACAACAATAACTGAGGCCATTCATGTGCCAACTAATATCTCCACCAATTCTTACCCAACCCTCACGCCATTTAATTTATACCTAAAACCTTTAAGTAAGTCCTATCTATATCATTTTTTTAAAATACAAATTAATATAATATAAAAACTTCACATTTATATTCAATAAAATCATAAGAAAAATAATTACACGGCCTAAAAATGATTAGACAAATCATAATTTTTCAATATGAAATCATATATAATATTCATAATCACAATTAAGTAACGTAAATTTTATTATGTATCATAACCATGTTGAAAAGTAAAAAATAAGAGTGAATGTTTCACATCTTATATATTTTTAATTTGAAATTCGATTTTATTATAAATAATTATTGATTATAAGATATAACGCTTTTGGGTATATAATAATAAATTAAATAAAAATTGAATGTATGATAATTTTACACACATAATAATTTCTCTGTATAATAATTCTATATTATATTATTAAAAGTATCATAAACTATCTTAAAACTATCATAAAGTAGTCCGTAACAATTATTATATTATTAAAAGAGTCAAAGACGGATAAACTCTTCAACCAACCCGAACAGAGGATAATAATAATAATAATAATTCGTACTAACAAAATAAAATAGATTACATTCTTATTCAACAACATATATGTTAAATTTGTTAAATTTTATAAAATAATATTTTAATATTGTACAAAAAATGGTTTCTTTTATATCAATTCACAATATAATTATTAAACTTGATCATTAGAAAATAGGAGTTGCATACCAAACAAGTTTTTAACTTAGACCCTTGAGTTTTATAATTAATAAAGGGTGTCATAAAATGGAGATCAAAACACAGATTAAGTAAAGCAAATCCCATCAAAATTTTATTAAATAATACACACACTGGACTCTTCCAGTAAATTGCTTCATTTATGTGAGGATTGGCACAATAGGATAAGAACAGCTTGGTACTATATGACAATATTATTAATATGTGATTGTTATACGAAGGATAATGTCTGTAACCAATCACTGATTCATTTTCCGAAAAACAAGGACTAGCATCGGCATTTCCTAGGAGCGAGGGTTGGGTGTGGTGTGATGGTCAACCCTCATTAATTAATTAACCAACCAAAAACACACACATTATTAGGTTGACATTTGTTTTGCGGTGGCAAAGGTTACGTGTTGTGTTCTTCTCAGTTGATAATAACAGCAAAAAATGATGTCGTCGGAGGAGGACGTGTTCGTTGGCGCCATCGACCAGGGTACGAGCAGCAGCAGGTTCATAATCTACGATGGGACGAGTAAGGTAATCGGGTTGCACCATGTGGAGTTCACACAGTTCTACCCGGAAGCGGGGTGGGTGGAGCACGACCCGATGGAGATCTTGGAGAGTGTCAAGGTGTGCGTGGCCAAGGCCGTCGACAAGGCCACCGCCGATGGCTTCAACGTCGACAAGGGACTCAAGGCCATCGGTCTCACCAATCAGAGAGAAACCACTCTCGTCTGGAGCAAATCCACTGGTCTCCCTCTCTATAACGCCATCGTTTGGATGGATGTTCGCACTTCTTCCATTTGCAGGTTCTCTTTTCTCATTCTTTTTTTTAATTTGTTTCTTACGCTCAATTTTTTATAAAACTAGAAGTATCTCTAAAGATGTGATTGGAAGAGAGTTTATAAAATTGATTTTGATGTGATGTAATTTGACTTTGGATACACAAATTAGTAATAAAAATAATATTTTTTTTAACCAGAGAACAAGTTATTGCTTTGGCTCAAAATCAATTCTGGACCAGGATCATCACTTTCTAAACTTTTCCCTGATAATTTGATGTGATTATGAATCCATCTATGGGGAATTCGAATATACTATTCAAAATTAATTTTGGACTGCAATAATTTTTTCAAAAGTGGAATCAAACATGCAAATGTCTGATTAGATAACTATGAAAATCGATTCCGACCCCTAAAATCATATAAAATAAATTGAAACAAGTGGAAGTAACTATATGATGCTTTCACTTTTATTTTAAGATGGAATTGAAATCAATTGTGGAAGCAACAGTGTTTATCTCAATTTTGTTGTGTTATCCAACATGATTCGAAACAGGAATGCATGTGTATACTGGTATAAACCGTGCAAGAATCCAAATCATTTATTTACTAATTATTTTGTCGGTTGGTGTTTCATCATTTGTATATACTAGGTATGGATTCGGTTGTCTATTGTTTTATGGACCTATCGAATTTAACGCTATGCATGTGTGTCCAACTTATGGTCTGTGTTTGGAGTTGGACACTCTTTCCTGTGCTGTTGTTTTGTTTTTTGTTAGAACTGTCATGTCATGATCTCATGGATTAGATGTTGTTGAATTTTTTTGAAACAGGAGACTGGAAAAGGATTTATCCGGTGGTAGAAACCATTTTGTGGAGAGAAGTGGCTTGCCTATTAGCTCATACTTTAGTGCATTGAAGCTGCTGTGGCTGATGGAAAATGTGGATGATGTGAAGGAGGCTATAAAGAATAAGGATGCGCTGTTTGGAACTATAGACACTTGGCTGATATGGAATTTAACTGGTGGGGTGAAGGGGGGATTGCATGTTACTGATGTTTCAAACGCATCTCGGACATTGCTAATGAATCTAAAAACCCTTGAGTGGGACGAATCTACCTTACAAACCCTTCAAATTCCGGCTGAAATTTTGCCTAAGATTGTTAGCAATTCTGAAGTTATAGGAGAGATTGGAGCTGGGTGGCCAATTGCTGGTATCCCTATTGCGGGATGTTTAGGGGATCAACATGCGGCAATGTTAGGACAAGTATGCCGTAAGGGGGAGGCTAAAAGCACTTATGGCACAGGTGCTTTCATACTACTAAATACTGGTGAAGGGATAGTTCGGTCGTCACATGGTCTTCTCTCCACTATAGCCTTCAAGCTTGGCCCCAAAGCTCCAACAAATTATGCATTGGAAGGGTCAGTTGCTATTGCTGGAGCTGCAGTGCAGTGGCTTAGAGACAGTCTTGGCATCATTTCTAGTGCTTCAGACATAGAGAAACTGGCATTAGAGGTTGAATCCAGTGGTGGGATTTACTTTGTTCCTGCTTTTAATGGATTGTTTGCTCCATGGTGGCGTGAGGATGCTCGCGGTGTTATTGTTGGAATAACAAGGTTTACAAGCAAGGCTCACATTGCTCGAGCCGTGCTTGAGAGCATGTGTTTCCAAGTAAAAGATGTCTTGGATTCAATGCATAAAGATTCAGAACAAGAAGAGTCCTTAAAAAAAGAATTTTTGCTTAGAGTGGATGGTGGGGCAACTGTTAACAACCTGTTGATGCAGATTCAGGTTTGGACTAATTGCACATTATTTTCTACGAATATCTTTCTTTCATGTTCCTGTTCATTGGTTGAACAAAAACTTTGTTAATTTTCACATAACTGATAATTTTTTTGTTAATAATGTTCCACAGGCAGATTTAATGGGAGGTCCAGTAATTAGACCTGCTGACATAGAGACAACAGCCCTTGGAGCAGCCTTTGCTGCAGGATTGGCTACTGGGGTTTGGAAAGAAGAAGATGTTTTCAATACTGGGGCGAAGATGAAGAATGCTACAATTTTCCGTCCCATGATGGCTGAGGAAGTAAGGAAAAAGAAAGTTGAATCTTGGTGCAAAGCTGTTAGTAAAACTTTTGACTTAGCTGATCTTGCTTTTTGATGGTCCTTTTAGACTTCCTTTTTCTTAATATTCTTATTTCTGGATAGACCTTTTTATTTTTAGCTTTACTGAAATGAAGAGAATAATTACGTGAATTATCAATTAAATTTTCTATGTTGTTCCTTCTTTTTCCTTTTATATATATATATATATATATATATATATATATATATATATATATATATATATATATAATTTTTTTTTCTTCCTTTATCTCTATAATTTTTTTTACACCCCATGATAGTTCATTTTTCTCTTAAATTGAATAAGATTTTCATCTTTAATTTTTTGGAAAAAAAATTAAGATTAATTGTTCTAGAACTCATTTCTAGATTTAATGTTTTAGACATTTTATAGATTGATTATTTTGAAAATGTATTTCGGATTAATTGTTCTGGAATTCATTTCCAGAATATTTTTAGAATAATTAATCTGAAATACATATCTAAAACACTCAATATGAAAATAAGTTATGAAGTCAATAATTCAGATTTTATTTTCAGAATGAGTGTTCCAAAATTGTATTTTAGATTAGTTGTTTCAGAATTTATTTTTAAATCTAAAAATTCTTTCCGAATTAAGCAATCAAGATTCCTATATACATTTACAGTTCAACTTCATGAATATTGGACGGTAGAAAATGTTAACAATTTTTAATTTTATGGGTTGAAAATAATCTTTAATGGAAGTGGAAGAGCAGTCAAAACAAAAAGAGTTATGGATGTGAAGTGAAGAAGTTTTTTAGGGTTTCAACCAAAAATTAGTAAACAAATATTTTGATCATTTTACATATAGAAGTGTAGGAAGAAACTATGAAGGTGCAAGAAGAAAGAACTTTTTTCTTCTATGATGAAAAAACATTTTTGGGTCTTGGTCCTCTTTTATGTACCTAAAAAGAAAAGGTTGATGCTTCTGGCACCCTATAATTTTTACTAAATCCTATTTTACCTTTACACATTATAGAGTGAGAAAATGGGACATTTTTTTCAAAAAAAAAACATGTTTTAGAAAATGTTTTTCAAAATATATTTATGGAATTAATTTTTTGAAAATACATTCTTGAATATATTTTTTGAAATATATTATAAAAGAATAATTTTCATAAATACATTTCAAAAAGTATGTTTCATAAATACATTATAGAAAGTGTTTTTTAAAATAGATTTCTGGAATTGATTTTTAAAAAATACTTTGTGGAATGCAGTTTCTAGAATGTATTTTCAAAATTTATTTATTAGAAATGCGCTCCATAATATATTTTTGGAATTGATTTCTAAGATTTATCTTTCCATAACTGATTTCTAGAAATGCATCTCATCCACCATAACTATATTCTGAAATGGATGTTTTGGAACGTGTTTTTAGAAAAAATCAATATAGAAATGCATTCTGGATTGGGTATTTCGAAATTTAACCTTATTTTCGTGATACTGTGTCAGATTGAGCAATTTGAATCTATTTATGTAATTTGAGTATATAAACATGTAATTCATGTATAATATTAACGATTACTTATTTTTAATTGTTAAAAAATACCTTCAATAGAGGTGATAACAAAAAAAATTCAAAGAATAAAAATGTTGAGGGATGAAGATGCAAAAATTATACACAAACACAAAAGAAGTTAGGATAAAAAATAAAATTATAAGAAGAATATTTTAAATATTTAACTAAGTACGAAGATGTATGAAAAAGTTATGGACGTACAAGAAGCAAGAGCAAAAAGAAAATATAATGTACAATTCTATTTTAGTCGTCTTTTAAAAAAAATAAAAACTCTACAGATAAAGAGATTTCTCCTAGTTACCTCTTATATATTTTCACGTTGACAAAAACCATTGTAATTTAAGAATCTTATAAATCACAAATTACTCTAACATGATTAAAATGTTTTACACATTAAAAATATATAGTCTATTCTATGATTTTTGTTCTTTGGCATTTGTTGTGATTTGAAGCATATTCTATCGGCTAAGCTTATTCTTCACGTCTTCACCTTGAAAAACTTTTGAAAGGTAGAAAGATGCTTTACCAAGAGTTTATATGTTTAATTATCAAGCATACGCAATTCAAATTAAAAAATAACAAAAATCTTTTGAGTCGCCTTGCTTATCCTTAAATGTTAATAATCCTTTATTAACTAACTCCTTCATTCTAATTCCCAAAGCCCCATTATTTTATGCTTTGTCCTAGATACCCTCCACTTGTACCCCAAGCAAGAGCAATAAACTAAAAGCATGTGATAAAAAATAACAAGTGCTATATGAAAACGGTTCAAATCATGTTAATAGTTAATCCAATCTAGTGCTTTGTTTGGTAAGAAATAAATTAATTAATGTATTAAATTCAACACCTTTGACATATAATTTCGTGTTTAAGTTTCTTGCTCAATTATTAAAATTTGATTGTCTAAAAGTCTCTTTTAATTCAAGAACTAAGAAAACTATAATCATTCTAGAATTTTATTTTAATAAACATTTTTTTAATAAATTTTATCTCTTAACCTACTTATAAATGCCATTTAAAAAAAATAAAAACTTTTAAAATAATTTCAATTAGTAAATCTAAAATAGAAACTTAATTGAAAGAAGAAGAAAAAGTATTAAATTGAATGAGAGTGGCATGGTTAGTTAACACACCACTCCACATTTGGCAATCATGGTGTCTTCCACAGATGGGTCTTATGATTGAATGTTCCCTTGGCGTCAATGGAGTTGAAAACGATGTAATTCTATAAGTGCCCCTTTTGACTACAAAAAGAAGAACCTCTTGATTTTGTCAATTTCATGAACATTTCGACTATTATTTTGGCTTATGAATCATAACTACGTTGCTCACATAGTTTAAACAACGCCCAAAGATTCCCAAAGTGGACCATCATCGACCACAAAATTCGAACACACATATAAAATTATTATCTGAAACTTGTGAATTGTACACGACAACACGTGATCGGTTTTTAAATAAACATCATATTCATACAAATTATGCATAGTTACTAATAATAGGTAAGTTGATTCACAGCATGCAGTTTTCAGACAAATATAGGGTAACTTATTCTCAATTATTCTTAGTTCGGTTTTCTTAATCAGCGTTATTAAATTTAATGAAACATATATTCTTCCACGTTCTTTCTTGTTCATCAAGTGTTTATTTTGGAGTAAAACAGTGAAGTCTAGAGTCTAATTAAACCACCTCCATCTGTATGAAACTTCATGGAATAATACACAAATTAATTTATCTTCTTTTATTCTAAAATATTTTATTTGTCTATTTTTCTATTTACTATTGTTTTTACCATTTTACTATCAAAGAAATTATTCCATAGCACGAAAATGATTTTTTTTTCTAGAATTTGTCAAATACTAAACGGATAAATATCTCCTAACTAAGTTTTATAAACATTCTTAATAGTTAAAATTTAAATTCTCGACGAACAAAATGAAATCTTCTTTCCAGATGAAATTTTTTTCCTTTGAGACGAAGATACGAATATTTTTTGATATGAGAGTATGCTAAAAAAATTTAGTACGATAATATAATAATATATAAATAATTACAATTTACATTTTACTAAAGTTTTTTATAGGATTAAATTGTATATTTAAAATATAATATAAATTAACTCTAATTATATTAAAATAAATATATATATCACGAAATACATGACTTATCATGTTGGATTAGCCCAATTATTTTTTGAAAATTTGACCTAAAAACAGAGGCATATATACAAGTAGGTACAAGTTAACAATCAGCAGACAAAACTTCATATTAATGAAGCTGACACATATTAGTTTTATACAGCTTTTGGTTTTAATATTTATTTATATTTCACTTATCATGCTTACGAAATTTATTTTTATTTACCATATGTAAGAAATATTAATAAATTCTAAATATTTGTTTTAATACCTTATTAGTGTAAATAGAAATCTGTATGGATTGTTATATAGATAATTATTTTGTTTAATTTAAACCTTCGATGATGGATGTATTCGGATCCATTATGATCATGTATCATTTAACGTTTCCAAATATATTTATTTACACGATAATATTCAAAATGGAGTTTTTATATAACAATTATGATACATGTTGGTGAAAATAAAAAATTGTAATTAAACAAATAGGATTTTTAAAAGATATATTTGTAAAACTAGTGTAAAATATTAAATTATTTGATGTAAAATTATAAAAAAAAGTGAACATAAAGATATATAATTTCTACTTGTTTGATTGAATTTTTTTCAAAATATATTTTAAATAAATACTGAAATAAAAAGAAATATAAAATATTATTATTTCCAATAATAATTTGTCCTTATATTATGAAAATAAAACAAAAAAGTTTTATTTAGCCGTGTTTTGTTATTTAGCCAAAATTTATTATAAAAATGATTGACATTTTTTTTCCTATTATCATACATAATATATTAGTCAAAACACGGTGTATGTATGTCTATATTTTATAATTAATTTTTTATTAAAATTTTAAATTTTTTATCCTTTTAAATATATATATTTTTTATTTTGTTCATATTTTTATTTTTTTCTCTCTCTTATAATACTAAAATAATAATTATAAAAGAAATTGTCTAAGATTTTTCAGTGATCAGACAGTATCTGTGTATTACGTGAATCTTTGGTATTCTTTTAATTAAATTAAACTTACAATATTACTAAAAAATGACATAATTAATTGCTGCTGTATAATTCAAAGCGCAGTAAATTCCCAACAGGGAAATGCTTGATGCATTGTTGGTATGAACACAAGTTAATGATAGAAGCAGATAGAAATAGAAGTTCTTGGTGGTAGCAGAAAGGTGGAAAGGGAAGACCCTGTAAAGGCAAGAAACCAAAAATGTCAAAAAGGGTCACAAGTCAGAAAAATCAAATCATCCAGCAAAGCAATCCAAGAGTAAAGCAAAGAAACTGCCATGAACCACCATGCCAAGCCAAAATTAAGGAACCTTGAGTTGAGACAACTTTTGTCCCCAATGTCAAAGTGCAATTCTTCACGCAAACTCAGGAAAGAAACAGAAACCACATCCCAATTTACTTTCAGACCACTAGATGCAGCCACAAATATGAAACATTAACACTTTATATTATAAAAACGAGGATGAATTTTGGATCACCAATCACTTATTTTACCCTCTAGTTTATGACAAAAGGTTGAAGAAAGAGAGAATCACAAGGCACATCATGCTGAAACTCTCTGACCATAACTCAGACTCTGCAAATAGTTTTCCTTTCTTCTCTCTTTCTTTTTGTTTCTTGTTTCAATGCTCAGCTGACCCCCCCATGACTCATCATTCAATGCCAGCTTAACATTGCATTGCAATCATTCATTCATTGCCCCTTTTTCAAATTCAATCTGGACCACCCTTCGTATTCACCACCAAGTGAAACACACAGTGAAATTAAATCAAAATAAACAACTTTGCCATTTGCTATTATTATGGCACCACTCACACTTTTCACCAAGTCTTGGTGATTCTGTAGCAACCAATCATGCATGCCCATGTGCAAAACTGCTTTACCTTCACATTAACCAAACCATCATGGATTCCTAATTAATCACTCACTGCTAACTAGTAATTCAAATCAAATTTCAAATTTCCACTGCAAAGCTTTCACGTGATTTTTGCGACAAACTTGAATAATACTCGCGTTAAAAAGGTAACTTATCTTGATGTCAATCATGTCATGATAATGAATTTTCACTTGCAATGATAAAAGAAAGATACAAAGTTCCACTCATGAGAAAAGCTCCTTCCTTTCTTTTTTCCTTTTTTTAAAAAAGCTGCGTTATAATGTTATTATTTGTAACAGTAGCCAGAAGCTTTAACCCAAACTTTTTTCATTACAAACAGCACAGTGAAAAACAAAAAGTGTGGTGCATGGAAGTGGTGTGGTAAATCACTCAACCATAAACATGAATATGAATATCCCATTGATGTTTCTTTATCATCAAATTATTGCATATTTTTCTTTCTTTTTTCCCTTTATCCCTCCCTGGATAGAGACAGTTCTTGCATGTGAAGTATATATTTCCCAGCTTAACCGTTACAAAATTACATGTCAACCTTACAAACTACGTATTAAAGTATATATCTTTCAAATGTGAAGAAGTCTCAGTTCCCTTTCTGACTCGAAACTCTCTTTTTCTTTGTTTCTCTCCTCAGCACCTCAGCGTATATATCTGACACTTCCACCACACTCCATTCCATACATTGAAGCAAAGCAAGATTACATTACGTACCATTGTATTTGTTCAGTAAAATAAAAAACAAAAGAAACATTTTCTCTAATATTTCAATGTATAACAAATGTACAAAAATATATTTGATAAAAAATAAAATTATGTAGTGAAGGGTATTTGTGTATTTTGAGAATAACTGACACACTCCCTCTAGCTTTCTCTCCAAATCCATGGAATGTGTTGCTTTCATTTGTTTTAGATTTTGGGTGAAACCAAACGGACCCACCCAAAGAAACCCCGTTTCTCTCTTCTTATAAAACCCCATATTTCATTCCTCTTTTCCCGCTTCCTCTCTGATAACAAAAACCAACAACAACATTAACATTTCACATGGCTTCCAACACCACCTTGAATTCACCAACCACCACCACCACCACCTACGCCTCCGACCCCACAACCCCCAACACCACCTTCGTTCAAGCCGACCCATCCAACTTCCGCGCCGTCGTCCAGAAACTCACCGGCGCCTCCGACGACCCCGCCGCCCCCAAACTCCCCCTCACCCTCCCCTCCCGCCTGGCGGCCCAATCTCCCCTGGTGGGCCCAAAGAGGCCCAACTTCAAGCTCCACGAGCGCCGCAACGCCGCCGCCAAGAACCTCGACCTCCCCGTCCTCATGGTCTCCTCCAACAACGTGTCCCTTCTCCGAAACCGAACATGCGAGAACCTGGTGATGGCCTCGCCCGTTTCCCCACTGGAGGTGCTGGCGCGTGGAAGCCCACGCACGCCCCACGAGGAGGAAGAAGAGAGAGCTATCGCTGAGAAAGGGTTCTACTTGCACCCTTCCCCTCTCTCCACCCCCAGAGCCTCTCAACCTCCTGAACTTTTACCACTCTTCCCTTTACATTCTCCCACCCACCACCACCTCAATTAACTCTTCTTCTTATTTTTTTGTCACCATTTTTATTTTTATTTTTATTTTGCTCAATCAATTAACTAATTGCACTTTCATTGTTTAATGTTATCTTTTTAATAGAGAGAAATGTATTTATGTATGTATGATGTATTGTATTCCATCGTGGATGGTGTGATGTATGTACGTGTGAATGTGTAGGTGGTAGTGTCTCTGTTTTTCATTTTCCGTTGTTTCTTTCTTCTTTAAGAAACAAACTTTGGTTGGGTAATTTAGATGCCCGTGTTGTTTTTTCTTTTAACCCCTTTTTTTTAAACGTACATGCATACACTATGCCATGGCAGTCTCAGAATTCCACAGTGCACTTTTAAGAAGATGCAATTAATGGTTCAATCCAAAGTATACGGTTCAATAATGTACTCTCAACTCAAACATGTTTCTATCATTTAAAAAAAAAAAAAAAAACTGTTGACTTTACCAATATTTTAAAGGACAGTGAGTTAAAAATGGTGTAGACGAAGAAAATAGAGTGAACAAAAACAGGAAAAGAGATAGATATAAGGAGCAATAACATGAAATGAAAAAAAAGAAAAAAGAGAGAGTAATGAATCGACCATTTTACTAAATGATTCAATCTTTATTAGATTTCTAACTTTTCATCGCAACAAAACATAAGATTTATTAGATTTGTTTTTTAATTTTTAAAAATAGTTTTAGAAGATTCATTTAAAAAAATTATTTTTGAAAATAAATTGTTAGATAGTTTTATTTTTGAAAATTATTTTAAAAAATATAAATATAAATAATCATGAAAAATAATAATGAAATTGAAAATGTATTTTAATAACTCTACAAATTTAATATAATTATGGATGAAAACATTTATTATCATTAATAAGGACAGAACTAAAATAGAAAACATATTTTATTAATTTTGATATTTTATTTTTAAAATTTTACTTTTTTTTTCACAAAATAATTGTTAAATTAGTTCTAAAAATTTTTAAAACTAAAAAGCTGAAAATTATTTTTAAAGACAATAAACAAATATTATGACACTTTGATCAAGTATGATAAAAAGTTTAAATTAATAAAAGTAAATTGTATGACATAATATTTGAATCTTTATAAACCTCTTTTAATATCTTAATATTTAACTTAATGTAACAAAAGGATTTATAAAAATACAAAATTCAAATAATAGTATTTATTCGTTATTTTATATATAAAATAAAAATCTCTGAAACACATTCCAGCATAGAACTGAGTAATACTTGTGAAGTTTAGACAAACGAATAATGAATCAGCATGAAATAGTTTTTACATAAAGTGTTAAGTCATTAATGAACGAGTTAAAAACAAATTGCTCATGAGGAATTTTTCAAAATTAGAAACAAGATGAATAATCAATCAAAATAAGTGGAGAGATGACAAATTTCAAACTCACCTTATTCCAAACCAAAAACATTAGTTCAAGTATCAAGAAAAAAGTGAATAAAAAAATAATAAAAAATGTTTTTTTTTTAAATTCAAATGTGGATTGAAATTATAGGTTATATAAAAAACAAGTTGAACAATATATTTATTAAAATTATCTATAAAAATCATAAGATTTTGAGCATCTTCTCCTTTATATTCCTCTTCTTAAAAATATGTAACATTATTTACTCTATTGGTTTCAAAGATTGAAATGATTTATATAATTTTCTAGGTAAATAAGACTATGATGTATGTTTGTTAAAATATTGATTTGATTTCTTGGATTAACCGGACGTGAGAACAAATAAAAAAAATTACAAGTTTTAATTCATTATAATATTTGATTCATTTTGTATAACATACCATATAACTATAATACATGATATAAATTATGTTAAAATAACATTATTATTCATTTAAACTAATATAATTTTCTTAAAAAGTTTATTTTTTTTTACAATTACGAAATTCTTTAAAATTATATACTAAATAAAAACATGTATATTTAATTCATAACTTTTCTTAAAATCATAAATTTGCATGAGATGTTAAAACTATAATCATTATTTAATTTTTTTCTTAAAAATATTTGAATATTTATTATTTATTTTTATTATTTTATGTAATACTATATTAATATTATGTTTCAAAATTATTAGATGTAAGTAAGAAAATATGTCGAGTAAAAATTTATAATTTATACTGTTATATATGATATACTATAATATAACTAAAATATTGCGATATATTATATTTAGTATATATTTTGTTATTATTATATATATATATATATATATATATATATATATATATATTATCATATACTATATTTATGAGGAGAAATGAATTTAGTATGTTTATTTATATTTATTACATATTTGCGCAGAGAGGTAAATTTATATGTACAAAATGTTAAATGCAATTCATAAAAGAAAATAAAGATCACATTATTCCTCCTCCTGTAGTCTTCCTTCAAATTAAAAAAGGGAAAATGCACCAAATCTAATGTAATATTCACCCTCTTAATTGATTTTTTTGACTATGTCTCGTATTATTCCTAAATATATTTTTAGACAGAAATTCATTGATATTTTCAATTTGTAATATATATGTTTTAAAATTTCAATCAATTACAAATCATAAAAAACACATGTTTGAAATAAATATTATAAGATTCGATTATTTTATCATGACAATTTATACTATATATATATATATATATATTTAAAATTAAATAATACCATATTTAATTTAAAATTTCTTAATCATGGTAAGTAAATTGACGCGTTCTCTTATTAATCGACATGATATTGCATAATATATACAACTGACTAAATTTAAAAATTTAGTAATTATTTCTTTATCATATTGTTATAGATTACATAAAAATTACATCAAGGACAATAATTTAGTGTCTGCCAATTTAAATTTATTTTACTTTATTAATAATGCATGACCATTAAAATTCATTTATAATTCTTATTTTATACCAAGTAAATATTCTTACCTAAAATAACCATGAAAATGATGCCTTTTCCAAAAAATTTATGATCATAGAATATTTCTTGTCACATGCTTCTATCTATTGGGTTAGCAATTTTACACATAAATTCTGATCTTTTGTTGTGTGCTAAAACGATTTAGGGGTGTTGAATTGATAATGAGATCAACTTAGACAATGAACTTTTCTCTTCAGATTGTGATTTCGTATCAAACTCTTAACAAAGAAAACAATCCTTGAACCATATGTTTTCCTCTGATTGTTTGGGTAACATTTCATAATTTAGGGTCCTACTTGTGATCAAATTTGTAACAAATAGAGTCTTGCAGATGCATGCATTTAACCCTAGTGCTGTTAATTCCCCTTATTAATCAGAGTTTGGTATTCTCAGTTACTTCAATTGTGACGTTGTTTCGTCATAATTTTACCAATTTAAATTGTTAATTGTAAGTTTTTTTTTCTCCTCCTTTTCCAATTGTCTACCAATGGCTTAGAAATTAATGAAGCTAATTATCTATCTACATGACATTTTTATTGCAACTTTGAGTTTTTCATGTCACCAATTGGACAATACATGTACTTTGTAAGAAGAATGATGAAGATATCATGTTCATTAAGATTCTTCACCAATGTTGTACACAATAGATTCGTAATAATTTACTGCGAGTTTTTTGGCTTTCTTAGTGACTGAACAAGTGCATCTCCCAGAATCCAAAAAAAAGGTTCATAACATTCATATTAAATATAAAATATTTTGAACCCAATAACTTTGTCCTTTTTTTATCCTCTCTTTTGACAAACAATGTTTAGAGAACCCACCATCCAAAAGTCAGAAACAAATATGATGCGCCATGATGACAATAATGATTGCTCTGTGTATTTACCTTCAAGCTATTCTAATATGCAGTGGTTATAACCCACTCAGATGTAACATGTCTCAACTTTTTTTGGACAAATTATTTAAATATATTCATAACTAAAGTAGATCACTTCCTCAATGTGGTATTGGACTCCTTCCTAATCCACAAAGATCAAATTAAATCAACAGTATTTATAGTATTATTCTCTATCCTCTCTATCCTTCCCTTGATAGTCATGTTAGATTTTAGATTTTCATATAATGTAAAATCTTATGGAGTCATATTGTTTTAAGCTGTATTAGTCTCTGACCTAGCGGATTGAAGAACCATAGGAAAGTAATAATATACATGAAATGACTTATTTGGTTGACAATCATAATCTTCCCAATGGGGTTAAGTGTTGTTGAATTTAATTTCGCAGTTGGTTGGGATCATGATTTGCTTCCCAGAGACCATTAAAAGGACCCCATAACCTTGAGCCACTTCACCACAAAACTAAACTTCATTCTTTTGGTTGTGGATAATATTTCAGCAAGCATGCTATGTATTTGGACTCTGACTGTAAGCTTGAGAAAATGACTGAGCACTAAATATTGCTAGCACTTCCTCATGCATCACCCCTTAAGTCATAATAGTATTCATAAGGAAACTTGTTAGCCAGTTGATAAGAAACTGCATAATGTAACAACAAATAACAATCATCACACCTGAAGAAATATTTTAAAATTTTAAGTTATGTTGAAATATTCACAATGGGTTATAAGAAGTTCACTTCAGTACCACCGAAAACATGGATCATTGGGTGTAAGATTATTCCTGTTTAATCAATGATTTTCAAGTTTAAGTTTTAGACACATAGCTGCATTAAATATTTGGAGACTAAACTTTACTGTCTATAATGATCGTATAGAGTAAAATTGTCTTATATTGGGGTACTTGCATTATAAAAAAAGAAAAAAAAGGTTAACTGTGCTAAAAAGACTACTCCATCTCCATACACTTTAATAGTTAAATTGACACAAAAACTGTGTTCGGTACATGTATGGTCAAATCCAAGTAAGATAGAGACTAGGGATTATTAGCTAGACAAAGGCCCATGAAAATAGAACGGTGTAATTAAGTGCAGCTAAGAAGAAGAAAGACCAAGAAACTAGGTCTAAGTCCACATGTGAAATGAAATTATTCTAGCCACAAAATCATGAACGATACCAAAATCATGTTGCTAATCAGCATTTTTAATTGACTAAGCAATTTTTAAGTTTCAGAACAAAACTTACTATATAGAAATAAACAAATCCCGAATGGACTTATTATATTGACAAAAAACAAAAATGGATTGAGTGACCAAAATTCTTGGCCATGAAGTTATATACTATGAACAATATGATGTCCAGAGCTTTTGGCCAGACAGACACTCCGTTGGAGAAGCAATATTGGTTATTCAATTCATAACTGTATTCAACGAACTGAAGCACAAATGGACTGTTGGTTGTACAATTCTGTGACTCCATTTGTCATTTTCTGCCTGTTTTTCCTCCTCTTTGAGACAACTATAAACCCTTCATCACCATTCTTTTTTTCACTAACACCTAATGTCTCTTGCTCATCACTATCACTGGAATGAGGCACTGTCTTATTTTTTTCTTCATTCCCATACATAATGTTTATGACAGCACTGTCTTTAGCTATTTCATCATCACAATTTTCCAACTTCCCAGATTTTCCTTCACTATCGTTAGATTCATCAACAGAATCAATATTTTCCTTGACAGATTTCACTAGAAAACTGAGCAAAATCTGCCTTGCTATCTCAGACTTCTCAGATTCAGACATACTGTTTTTGGTGGAACTTGCCTTGATTTCAACACAATTTTCATCCAGCTTATTTTTTTCTGCCATGCCTATCTCAGATATAGAGTTATGCTCATTGGAAACATTTGAATTGGTATCATTGGCTTCTGTTTGAGAAGCACTTCTGGGAACAAACTCAGGCGCATGTGGATTCATTATTCTTGGAGATACAAATCCACTTTTTTCTCTGATAGGGGTTTGGCTTTTAGTTAAACCGTGTTTCATGCGGAAAGTATAGTTGGTTCGATAATATAGAGGCGATCTAGGTCCACAAGGGACCCTAGCAACTGCAGGGGGAAGCACAGGCTCCACGTGCATGCCTTGACTAACATCTGTATCATACATGCTAGTGAAGGAAACTGAATTTAAATGGTGAGACATGGACAACATTCCTGGATTGAAAGGTTTAGCCGCAGCTGAAAGCTTACTTCCATTGGTTTCTGTAGGTTTTGCCTGATCAGAAGCAAGGGAAACCTTCTCAACTTCCAATGTAGAATTTTCTTGTTGAGGTTCAATTTCATGAGTTTCTTCTGTTTCATCATGCTGAGAAACTGTATTAACTATAGAACTTTGGCACGTACCTTCGTTGATCGATGTCACAGCTAGACTGCTGCATATGTCATCTTCAGCATTAACCTTGTCTATCTCAGCCTTTTCCGACAGTGGCTTTAAAACTGTACCTGGTGGTGCTAGAGCCACTTCTTTGTAAGATATACACTTTGAAGCCAAGGAACTTAGAGATGCTGGAGATGGACTTTTAGACACAGAAGTTTTTGTTGGATAATTAACAGAATCTTCGGTCAAAGCTATGGTTCGAGCTTTTGGTTGTCTAGATGGAGATGACATGTCTGAAATTACTCTAGGAACTCCTCTTTGTTGTGGTGAATTAATCTCATTCCTAGAATTGCTTTCCCTGTAAATGTAATTATTAGAACCATTTATGCTGAGCTTTGATAGAAGTGGTCGCTTTTTGTGTCCAAACTTGCGGTTAGCAGCATTTCCTGATCGCCCTTTTGAATTAGCTTCTTGCCAACCCTCATCCGATGATGCCTCATAAACAACTTCACTTGTCTCTGGCCTGTACCTAGTGAAATCACCATTTTCTTTTGGTATTCGAGAGTCAAGTGTGTCATTGTTTTCTTTTATATTCCCTTCTACCATGCTTGGAGCATCTTTTGAGTCATAAAAAACAATGTTCTGCTCAGCTACTGCATCTTCATGTTCTTGACTGTTGTTATCACTTGTTGGGAGCATCTGAAAAATAAAAGCAACTAGTCAAATACAAAATATGGTAAATGATCTAAAGTGTTATCAAAATTACTTCTGATTTGAAATTAGACCATTATAACACTTCACCTAAAACTATAAGCTAACGCCAAAAGAATGTATTAGGTTGCATGCCTTTCAAACTTGACTTTAATAAAGGTTAAAACATCCAAAATCTTTGGAACATAGTCTTCTTGTTTCCCTTAAGGACAGTACTTAATGAAAGGCACGTGGTCAATGGAACTGGAACAAGAGATATATTTAATCAAAAGGAAAAGCAATGTCACCATAGCATATCAAGAGAAGTATAAATTCGATCAAATTGGTACTGGATCCGTTGGTTGCAAGCAAGTCACAACGGGATGTTATCTAGTTATTTTAAGATAAACATCATCTAGAAAAGTATTTGCCCACCTTTGCACGCCTCTGTTTCCTCTGAGCATCACTTCTCTTTGGGTCAGGACTGATAAAATCCAGGAGATCCGACACACTGCATGAAAAGGGTTAAATATATATGTATATTACCCTGAAATATAACCTATTTGAAACACAGTAAATGAGGGATACCATGTTAGTACCTAAGGTGGCCTTTACTTGCAATGGATGCATCAGGCTTTGGAGTTCCATTTTTAGCTGCTTCTTGCTGCTCTATGGCTTTTGATTCAAAATATTCAAGCCATGCCGCAGCATCCTGCGTTGAGGAATTCTTTTTTTTTTTAAATGGCAACAATAATAGGAAAAATCAACTATAAACCCCCATATTTTGTCAATTCAATCCTAGACCGGTACCATTTAACATAGACTAGTAATACCATAAGAAAAGGAAATGACCTGTGTACGAAGGTCTTCTAATCCAAGCTTTGCTTGGAGTATCTTTAGTGTAGTTTGCTCATGTTGCACACTCAGAGAAAATGCATCCATCAATGAAAGAGCTATAGCTATGGCGTGATAGCTTGCGGCAGTCTATAACATGAAAAATACTGTATAAAGCACTGTTTCATCCATGGGGGAAGGGGGAATAGGAGGGATTGGAGGGGGAGAGAGAGAGAGAGAGACCTGTATATGATCTGCTCCTAACAATCTTTTGTTGCATTTAAGAGCTTCATGCAAGTATCTGAGAGCCACATGAACATTTCCCATACCCTCTTCCATCATAGCCACATTTATATATGTTGCAGCTGTATTTGGATGAGACAGCCCACATGTAAAGTGAAGAAGGAATAGAGCACGATTAACATACCTGCGAAAAGACACATTTAGATCAACGAGAAAATACTAATTTCAGAATAACAAGCATAAAGTCCTAACTTATAACCAATTCAATAAAGTTTAACTTACTTCAGAGCCAGCTCAATGTGTTGCAAACGATAATAAAAAACAGAAAGATCCCCGTAGCTTTTCATAGTGTCAGGGTGATCAAGACCAAGCTCCCTCTCATTTATATCCAAGGCCTTTTGCTGATAAATGGTGGCCTAAATAAATAATATAAAAATTGGTATAAGTTCCAAATATTTTACCAATCACCACCTAAATAGTTAAAGACACCACACAGAATCATCATATTTAGGTTCAGCAAGTCTTTAACATGCTTTCCCCTTTTCTCTTTCTTTCATTTATTTCTCCTAGTAGCTTAGGACAAAAGAAACAATTTTTTCCCATACTAAATAGGCTTAAACTATGTATCAAGAAAAATTACAAATATCTAAGATTTCTATCATAGCTCAGATAAACTGAAATATCCGTTACCTGGTTAAAATCTCCAGTGTGGTAGAGAACCACAGCTAGAAGACTATATGCACTTGCAGTATTTCGATGATAGGGTCCACAAACAACCATCATTTTAGCTAATGCCTGCAATATGATACTATTGTCAAAACACAGTGCCATATTTATAACTATTAAACTTAAAAAGGATGACCTACTGAAGAAAGTAATCTATACCTTCGTTCCATAGTTTACAGCATCCTCAAGCTTTCCTTTATCAAGAGCAATTTTTGAAGACTCCAATAAATTACGTCCATCTATTGAGGAGCACCCTGCATGCTGTAAAAAATGATCTTGTTTGTAAATGGTTCATAAATTATACATTAAATAGATTTAGGGACAATAACATAAACATGACCTCACCTTGCAAACAGGAACCAGGCTGATAATATCATTTTTCCCAAAGGGCTTACTGGAATCCATGTCATAATCTCTAGGGAACAATTCCAATCCAACCTAGGAACAAAAACATGTGCTATTAATAAAAGCTTCCAGTATAAAAATAAAAATAAGAAGACAAAATGCTGATACCTTGTGACATAGCCCTCTGAGAATCGACAACTTCCTCAAATGTTGAAATTCATCATTTAATGTCCACCCAAATCTTTTGGACAAAAACATTCGTAGCCATTGAATTCTGAGATTATGGTCATCACTCAAACTTTGGTCAGTATCTTCTGTTCGACACCCACCAAGTAAGAAATTTAGAGTTGATGCAATGGCTGCAGATAGATCAGCCACATTGTCGACAGACGCAATAACTGCTTTAAGTTGATGCTTGAAAGCTCGAGTAATCATCTCATGAATACAAAGGGATTGTATGTGAGGAAGATTTTCTGCAAGTTTAACCTGATTCACACATGAAATTAGACCCAAAAAAGCAAACTATATTACCAAAACTACTTAAACTAAAAAGGTATGTAGAGTACAATAGCAGCTTTCAAGCAGTAGAATAGTTGGAACATTTTAACACTCTTCAAATGGAGGCTCCAGAGAAAGAACATTACCGATACTAGATCCTCAGTTAGGAAATATTTCCACAGTAAGCAAAGAAATAGAGAAAAGTATTCTCACCACTTGACCCAAAGATCGCATCTTTAATCCTCTTAAATGCATAAAGTCAGTCAATGTACGCCCATCCACTGGAGAAAGTTCAAGTGATGCAAAGTCCATAGCCTAAAAAAGTAATACATTATGTTCTTAGTCAAGTCTATAACTGAGTTATTCAAACGAATGTAAAATCCTTTGAGAAATGTAATGTTACCAGCTTTGGCAAGGCAACTTCATCATAAAACTTGTGTGCCATGCTGACAAGCTCATCCACTGACTGTTGCAAGAAGACACAAATCGAGATTATTTGTACAGATACAACTACAAGATAGATGATGGAAGATGATTATCATAAGCATATGAGCATAAGTATCACCTAAAATATAAACTAAATAATAAAATTGGAAAATGATATAATCACAAAAGATGTAACAAGTACTAGTTAATTTTCAAAATGAAAAAGAAAAACATGTAGCAACATGAGAATACACCAACATGAAGCACATCTTCAAAATATTCCACAAACCTTCATGTGAAGACCAGTTTCAGATTCCTTTAGACGCAAAAATGCTTCTTTAGAAAGTAGTTTCTCCAAATCACTAGAGTTACTTGAGTCACCACTGTTCAGCTCAATTTTATCAGCATCATCATTCACATTTCCAGGTCTAGAGTCATTTTGCTCTCCAGAATCTGCACCAGCTACATTATTTGATTTCCTCTCTCTCTTCTTCAAAAATTTAAATTGCTTTCCAAGACCTTTAACAGATTGCTCAATATCATTGCCATCTTCTTTGTTTTTGGAACTCTTATCAGATGATGTTTCCTGTTTTTGCAAATGCTGCATCCAACAGGAACCAAGTTCCCATCGAATAGACTTTTTTGAATCACTAGGCTCCTCCTTTATCTTTTCTACGCATTCTTGAACGACATTCCGAACAAGGCTTTTAGAAGCATCTAAGTCATCCGAATTTGATAGGGATGATAAATTCCCTTCTAATGAATCAGATCTAGACTTGTGAAGCAGTAGCCTCAAACTGCACAAATCATAAAAACGTGTCACTGTGTCAGGCATCATCATCACAAATTGGCTATTAAGATCAATCTCTATGGAAGACAGTACTTGCATTGAAATGGATCTAATTAACCAATTATAGAGAAAGATAATAAAAATGTTGCCAGACATGATATGTAGCCTAGAAGTGCTACCATTTTCAGATCATCCATCCACATATGACATTTGCAGAATAGTTTATTGTTCAAACCTGTTAATGTTGAGAGCATTTGCCCCACCATCTGGCTGATCATCTATCTCAATGTCTCGAACTTTAGGCTTCCTCATGTTCACATTACCCACAACCTTTACTGTTGCAGTATATCCACAGTGGTTTACAACAACGACAGTCAAGGAAGAAGTATCCTGTAATCAACAAGGAGAAAAAATGAACAATCACAATACATCTATACCCTTGAAGTAAAGTTTATTGACTTACATGAACAATTACACTTTCATCTGCTGTCAATCCTTTGATTAAATTCTTCTGTCCATCCTCCTTATGCACGATGGATTCATCTGGTGTAGAATTGTGCTTTTTATTTCCATCCTGTATGTCACGTTTGACTGTAATGGATAAGTCTCCCACGTGATCTTCATGCAGAATAGAACCCGGAGAAGAATTCAATTCACTCTTCATGTCTGAGTTGGATTCCATGACATGCTGTATAGCCGCAACAGCCTTAAATATTGAGGTATCAACAAATAGATTGTGAAGCAGAAATGCTTTTCTATCCCTGACCACTCTCTCCTCCTCAGTTTTGCAAGGAAGGGAGGCCAGTATCGCAAAATCCGTTGCCCATGGTCTAAGATCAAATTCGCCATTTTTTCCTTGGCCACCACCATTACCACCCCAGTTTTCATCCTCTGTGGGCAATGCAGGAAAGCTTGAAGGAGACTCAGCTACAGAGGGAGGGACAAGCCATGTATTTGCTCGGAATCCATATGGAAGATTTCCAAACTGAAGAATATATGTTGTTAGAAGATGTTAGATGTTCTTAAAAGAAAGACAAATAATGATCAGTTTCATTAATTTGATGAAAAAGTGTACCTTATTACGTTCCAAAAAGGCTTTCATCAACGATTCATATGCCTGAATTGATTAGACATTTGTTAGAAATGCTAGTTAAAACATCAAACTACTTGGCCAAGACCAAATTTTCTTATAACCACTTTTCAGATAGCTTGACATGCATGCTTATGTAGCAGGAACATGATATGTAAAAGCACAAAATATGGACAACTTGATAGAGATTATATCCACGTATATATTATAGCATAAGTTAAGAAATTAAAAGGTTAAGCACAGAAATTGGGAAAGAAGAAAGAGAAACAAACATTAGCAAAGGCTCGGCTGAGCTGTTGGAGAAGATCAACCAAGGTGTGGCTGTGCAGAGATTGCCTCCCCACAGTGTAAAACCCTTTCTCTGAACCAACCACTTCTATAACCTTCCCATTGCATATCTTAACCTTCATTCATGGATAGTTCATGCACCAACAACATTTTCTCACGTCAGATACATACAACATGCAACATGCATCGGTAACAAAGAAAAGGCCAAAACCTGAAGCTGAAAGTAATCTCCCTGGCGCCTATCATCTTCATCCTTCACTTCACTTCTCTTCAGTTCTGCAAAACACAAAAATCCCCACGCTTTTCATTACATCACTGTAAAGCTTGTGAATTTCCCATGAGTTTGCTCAACACAACCTTAACGGAACTGAAGAGAAAGAGGTACCCACGCAAAATGGGGGGAGAGAGGTGAGACAAGGAGAAGAACTCGTAGAAATCTGAGAGCTTCGGCGTCGGGTGGATGGCTTTCATCCCCACGTCATCGGAGATCGCCGACGGTGGCGCCTCCGACGACGTTGACCCGATCCGGGATTCCCCATTCGGTGTCCCGGGTGGACTCAATCTCGTCTTGTTCTGATGTTGGGCCTTGCCGTTTTTTTTGGGCCTAGAGTCTGGGCTTGATAAACTCCGTTTGGGCCTACCGAACCTTGTTGTGCAGGCCACAATGTCCAAGACCCTTCGCACGTGCGCAATCGCTTGAGCCTCCTCTGTGTAATCCTCTGTAACACAGTGGCACAAACAAATAAATATATAAATAACAAATAAGTTTAATTAATCATTTGATATTTCTATCTGCGCATTAATTTATAGTAACAATTTTTTTACCTTTTAATTTTTATACTTCTACTTTATAGTGATTTTAGTATAACTGAATACTAGTAACTACAAAAACAAAGACATTTATTTTTTTCATTCAATACTACTCAAGATTTTTTAGATATAGAAATGGAAACAAAAAATGATTAATTAAATATAATAAATAAATCACACTTAGTAGAAAAAATAATAATCGTACAACATAATTGAAGATATTAATGTTTATGATGAATTTTTAATCATTGTATTTATAAATAAAAATTAAGTTGAATTAATTATTTTAATTTTATATTTACGCCAATTTTTTGTTTCAGCTTTTACATTTAAAAATTTCATGTTATAATTTTATACGAACAATTATTTATAATTTAATTCCTAAACCTTTATTTCGTAATATTTTATAAATTTTTTTAAAAATTTATGAGAAATTGAAACATTAAGTATTTTAAATATAAGAATTTAAAACGTAGCATATTAATTAAATATAAAAGATTAAAATATGAGTACAATGTAGAGGGTAAAGAATGGTAGTCACACCATTAATCTGATTTTGACTCATCCTCCTAACATAGCTAAGTAAAAATAGGACAAGACAACTCACTTGATTTACTTAAAAAAATAAATATATTAAAATTAAAATTAAAAATATTATTTTTTATTATATTATTAAAATATAAATATATTATAATTTTAAAAATTAATTAATTAAATTTAAATTATTGATTATAATGAGTTATTTTAATATATAAATATAATATTTTTTAATTTATGTAATAAAATATTAGTTAATAAATAAAAACTTAAAAATTATTTATATAATTAAATATATATTTTTTAAAAATATATATAAAAACTTATATATAAAAAATTATTATCAAACTAATCTATCAATCCACCATTTAACCAAACAAATGAAGTTTGTAGTTCATATTGATTATTTCGAATCATCCTATCTCATTGTATATTTAATCTATTATAATATAATAACTAAAAAAATATCATATTATATTATAATTCATCTTGATTACAACTAATCAACTTGTCTCACTATATATTTAGTCTATTTCAATACAATGAACCAAATATAATGAACCAAAAAGATATCATGTTATATAATGACTTTTTCTCATAATTAATAAAGGATAATTTTCATGTGAAAAATGTATTATTTACTAATAATTTTTATTTTAAACTGGAATTTTGAATTTTTTTAAAGATAAAAGAAGGGTAATAAAAAAAGTTATTTTTTCATGTTAGTTTCAATACAGTTTAAAAAACTTAATTGCCCTATTTAAAACCCTTAAAAATTACTATTATTTTGCTAGAAACTCCAACACAAAGCTATTATGAGACATTGAAAGAAAAGTGGGGTATTGTTTTTCACCCAAAATGCAACCTTAATAAATGACAACAACTATCCTGGGCTAATCATTATCGTGTATCACACCAAACTTTAATTTCACCGATTATGAAAACGACAACAAAGTATTTTTCAAAGGGCAATAAATGTATAGATTTTTTCTTTTATGAGTTGCATTAAACACCATAAATACATAAGTGATTGAAGAAAACAAATAAAAACTATACTCTTATTGTTAATTCTCTAATAAAGGTAAGATCTGTGGAATCTATAATTTATAAAAATGGGACGAAGTTACAAATTTGTTTTGTCAAATGATCAATTTATCAATATTTTTTAATGTAATTTTTGTTTATATATATAATTTTTTTAAAATATATCTTTAAGTAGATAATAATTTTAAGTTTTTATTTATTAATTAATAATTTTACTAGATAAATTTAAAAAATTATTATATTTATATATTAAAAAACTTAATTATAATCAATCATTTAAATTTAATTGATTATTATTTATAATTTAAATTATAATATTATAATATATTTATATATTTTAATCATATAATAAAAAAATATTTTTTTAATTATAAGTTTTTACTTTAATTTTAATATATAAATATTTATTTAAAATGAGTGAGTAACACATTTAAATATTGTCAATTTTGAATTGAGCATCTAAATTTTATTTATTTTTAAATAATTTTATAGTTTAGGCCCATAAAAAATTATTGGACTATTTTGTTATGAAATATTAAAATCCTCCAATGTTTTAAGAAGTGTTAAAAGATGTGGTACTCTATGTCTCCTCTAATATGATAGGCAATAAAGAGCAACTCAATAATGATTTTTATGCCAGGTTACTCCACATGTATCTTCGCCTAATAAGGGATGAAAAAAAAAACTAAGTATGTAAAGGGAATTTAATATTTCTGTTTATAGAATCCTACATGAAAAAAAAAGAAAGAAAGAAAAAGTTAATTATCTCCTAAATATAAAAGAGGATATATTGACAATTATATACTTGATTGATTTTATTTTTATTAATCTAATATTATTATATTATATTAGTAAAAATATGATTGACTAAATATAAATTATATTTCCAATTATTAGTTATTTTCTGTTTTAAAAAACTGTCAAATTTTATTTTTTAAATTATCTTTTTAATTATATTTATTGTAGAAAAATAATAATTATTATTATAAATAAGTTTAGATAAAGAATAATAAAATGATAAAAATACTTATTAAATATAATAAAAATTAATCCTTATCTAAGTTTACTTATTTTTACATGTGTTAGAAAAAGATGAAATAATTATTTTCATATTTTAACACCATTGCAATTATTCAAACAATAACTTTTGACATTAGCGTACACAAAGTTAATTTCAAACGTTGAACAAAGACTTTGACATTAGAATACAAAATGTTTAACATAACATGAGCATGATATTCATAGAAATCCGCTGGTATTACCTTCTAAAGTATCTTGTATCACACTACTTGGAAAAAAAAACTTTTTCACTTGCATTCAGCTTCATTCTTAGAAAAATACCTAAAGCTAAAAAAAACAATGATAAAAACTTGAATGGTAAAACCAGTTTACTACTCCTAACTCAACGCTACCTTCAAAACTTTTATTTACCCCTTCAACCATTCGATAAGCCTTGATTATAATAATAAAAAAAAAAAATAGTTTTTTGAGTTTTTCCAATGAAATGATAATTTGCATCTAACTTGATAATTACCCTCTTCACTAAAAAACAATAAAGAACATTAAAGTGACAAAACTATATACCCAGAAATGGTAGACTCAACTAAATGCACATGCACATGAGGCAGAATTTGTAGTTGAGTACACCTACCTTCAACCATTCTTAGAAGACATGGCTTCAGGGTAACAACTTCCACTCTGTCATTTAATCTCTCACCTTTGGCCTAAGGGAGGAACAGCATTGAATCAAGAATTAATCCAATAAAAAAATATGCAGGGGTTGGCGCATAGGAATAAAATATTAATCCAATAAACAATGAAAGATTAATTGAACTCAAAAAATGCCAACCTCATGAGATAAAGAATAGTTTGTGAAATGGCATGTCTCCACCTTCACAGCCAATAGTTTCCTCACATCAAGTATCTTATCAGTAGAGATACCCTTTGGAAAAATTTCATCACACAAATAGTTAGTGATATAAAAAACCACAAATGACACACAACAAACAATTCTGGAGAATGTGAAATAAAATATGTTCACCTTCAAGAGAATCTGTGTGTCATATGGAGTGACCACAGTGATGTCAACAAGAGAAGGTGCTGCTGCTGCTGAAAGCACACAAGAAACAAACATTGGAGAAAAGTATTGCATTTAAGACCATTTAGACCAAAAAGAGAATACATCAATCTCTGATATATATTACTATAGTGATGTTAACAACACCTTTCTCTTCCTTTTTCTTCTTCTCTGCCTTTGCTTTATTTGATTTCCCTTTTCCTGATCTTGGGGGCATTTTTTTTTCGTTTTTGCCTTTGTCCACTGCCACACACAGAAAAGGTAATTCTGAATAGAAAGTTCAGAGCAGCACTCAGAAAAATTGATTAGCAATTCAAAACTTGGTTGCAGAAAGTGGTGCTGGAAAGGAAAAACAAAGAGTGGTATAAAGTTTGAGGGAAAAGAAAAAGAGAATGGAGGGAGTGAAATAGAGTAAGGGGAAGAGTTTATATGAGTGAGAGAAGAAAGAAATTTAAGTTTTTGAGAAGTGAAAGATATATTGTAGGCTTTTGGGTTGAAGAAGATAGGATAAGGGTCATGGAATTTTAACCTTTTGAGGATTTGAGAGCAATTGTAGCCTCTCCTTGTTGCTAATAAGTTGATATCTTCTTCTCTCTCTTTATATGTGGAACCATGTGATGTGAATCACAATGCCAATGACATATAACCAAGTTTGAGGTGGGCATGCACTTGGGTTAAGGCAAAAGACAAAATGGCCAGTGTGAGGAAAAACTGACCGTTGATTTCTTGCCACGTGTCCTAATACTGTGCGGCTGATTCATTTTTGTTTTATCACATGTTTGGACCTTCAATTGTTCCTCCTGTGCTAAGTGATCATACACCGTTGATTTGGCTTCAGATGAAGTTTCATGGCTGAGTGCATTATTGAAGCTCATGCACCAAAGCTTGTCATCTTCTCATTGGTTCCTAGCCATTGTATTTACTATTTAGTCAATCATTTATATGCTTCTCATTTTTTGCTTCCTACCTTCAATCATTTTCACTTTATTAAAAATCACTTGTTGGAAATAATAAAAAAAGAAGAAAAATAAATAAAATAGTTAAATATTCCTTTAATTTTGATTTTATAAAGCAAGAAAAAAATATATACTACATAATAAAACTTACAAATTCACTTTTCTTTTATAAAAAAATACTTAAAAATATTTTCCTTTCTTTTCTACAACTTATTAAAAGTGGTAAATTTCTTCGGTTCTTTTTATTTGGAATTAAGAAAGATATTATTTATAACATTTAAGATCACATGAATGATTTTTTTTGAATTTATCTTTCTTTAATTAATCTACATGTGCATTTATTCTACGGTGGAAACAAAAGAAAAGGTATTTAGAATAAAATATTTATTGTATTTTACGGTTCTTTCAAATAAAAAGAAACACAAAAATGCTTTAAAGTTGCTAATAAAAAAATGGTAAATGCATTTTAGTAATCATTTAAAAAGTGTATTAAATTATTTCTATTTCTATATAATAAACATTTATTTACTTTTTTTAACAATTACATAAAATAATTAATTCTAGGAAAATATTTCATTGGTTTCTGATCTGTTGTTTAAGATGAAGGAATCAAAGAGTAAGTATTAGGAAAGGTGTTTAATATTTTATTTATATCAATATTAATTATTTTATCTAAATATATTATTTTTATTTGTCTTTCTTATTACTACTCCAATAATTCATTATGTCTATGTTAATATTTTTTACTCTGATATATAGCAAAATAAAAAAAATATAACAAACGTTGATTATTGAATGAAAAAAATCATTAATGTATGCTTTAATTGATTTAAAATATTTGAAGTGAGATATTTAATATTCATTAATTTTAAACTTTATCATTTCTAGAAGGAGTTTTAAATGATTTAGAAATAAAATTAAATATTTTATAATAAGTTTTATAAATAAATTATTTATATATATATATATTATTTTTAATTTTAAATAATTTTTTCTATTTTTAAATATGAGATTCATAATAAAATATTTATTTTTATTTTTAATGCTCGAGACGCCGAATTTCATTTTCCCTCTTATTAAAAGGGATAACTAAGAAAGTTTTGTAAGCATAACTTCAATATCTGGCTGATAATGATACAAGTTTTGGTGATTAAGGTCATCAATCTTTTCAAACGTGATTACCTAGGCAAATGAGTAATTACAGTTCATTTGACTTCAACGATAACCGTCCAAATTAAAAAACAACAAAAGTTGAAACAAAATATGAACAATTAAATATTGTAAATTAATTTCAACGACTAGAGATTTTCTAAAAATAAAATGAGTTATCGTTAGTCAAAATAAATGAAAATAAAAATAAAAATGAAGTACCCTACAGAGCGACGACCTTTAACGTATCGTATATTTGTAGAGGTGATTTAATTTTTATCTTTATCAGTGATTTAATTTTTATAAAAAAAGTATGTGAGGAAAAAAAATGATTAGATTTTAAACTTGTGAAATATAGGTTAATTAAAATTATATATTTTTATATTTGTATTTAATATTTATTACATTTTATATAATTAACTTTTATAATATTTAAAGACACTTTAAATACATAAAGGTGATATTTTAATTTAATATTTGAGTTTTTTCATTGAAAAAGTATGAGTGTTTTTTAAACAACGTTTCTAATCATGGTAATTTTTTTTTTTACTTATACTACCAAAAGAAACCATGGTATATTTATGTTTATAATAAAGAGAAAAGGCTTGCATTTCTCCATTCAAATCAAGTTTTTCTCAAAATTATTAATTATCATGGTATATTATTTATTTTAATTATTAATTACTACTGAATATTAACAGTCAAAATTGATATCAATTATCGAAATTATACTTCAATAACATTAAAATTTTATCAATTTGATATTAAATAAACTTAATAATAAAAGTATATAATAAATTGATATTAAATATCAAAATTATACATGTTAATTCTTTATTAAATACAATTACAAACATTAAATTAAATTTCATCCTGCTATTATTATTAAATTGCCATTAATGTTATTAATTTAATTTTAAATATATCTTAAGTTTATTTAAAATGAAATAATTAGAATAAGTCTCATTTACCAATAGAAAAAATCAATCTAACAATTAGCATTATATTGAAATTTATTATATATATATATATATATATATATATATATATATATATATATACTCTTGTGATATTTAAATTTTAATCTAATTATTTATCAGAATAAATTTAAGTTCCATTTATAAATTATTATAATTATTATTATTATTTAATATTTAAATAAAAACTAAATATAAACTATTTAGATAATGTACACGGAGTAATTCATTATTTATTTATTTATTTTTCAAAATATTAATATTTTTACAAATTAATATCAATGATCAAAATTATTAATAAATAAAATTATTTTTGAAAATTATATTTTCTTATTAAATACAATTAGAAGCATTTAACTTAATTTCATCTTGCGATTATTATAAAATTGAAATATTATTATTATTATTATTATTATTATTATTATTATTATTATTATTATTATTGTAGTAGTAGATAAGATTTAAATTAACTTTTAAAAAGCATATAATGGATATAGGACACAAAATAATTTGAGTTATATTTTAATTTTAATTATTGATTAAAATGAAAATATATAATGAATATAATATTTATACTTAATATTAATATTGTCAAAAATAATAATAATTATAAAAATATACATAAATAACATTAATTTGAACAATTTTTTTAAGAATTTATCTGATATTATAGAATTTATTCAATTTTAAGCCATATATGATTTTCCAACGACTAAGATTAAAATTCGGATGAATGTTATTAATATTGAAAATAATATAAACAAAAAAGTTAATGTCAAAGCGATTTGTAGAATCATAAAATAATCTTTAATAAACCGCCCACTTTACACACACTATTTTTAAGTAATTCTTCACCCTTTTTTCCCAAAAACCTTTCATTGGATTCATAGATCATCCCGTTTCCAATGATGTCTTTTGATGAATACTTTGGCTCTGGCAGATATAAAAATTAATATATACAGAGAGTAAATAATATATGTATAAATGTTGTAAATGTTTTTATATTATCTCCTCCAATCCAATCACTATTTAGATTAACTTAATTAATTTTTATGATGAATATTGTAAAAGTCGTATTTGATTATGATTTCTGATTAATTAAGTGTAGAAATGGATGGTAGAATGTTTTACAGAAAGAAAAAACTGAATTTTCTATTAGGAAATGCAGGAAAAATTCATTTGAAGAAAGATATCTATCAGTAGTCAAGCACTGTAAGAAGAAAATCACGGGAAACTAAATTTACAATTTAAGGAAAAACTCAGGAATTCCCTTTCAATCAAATAAGCACTTGGATGCCTGCAGGGTCAGTTAGCAGTTGAAATCAGAAGAACATTCTGAAAGCCTCAACAACTTTCTCAGGCCTGTAACAAAGGGTATATTCTTAGTAGGTTGAAAAAACTATTTCACTATTCAATGGAATCCTATGTTGAAATCATTTACCAGTCCTCTTGTGGCATATGACCTGCTCCTTCTATCAGTTTCAGCTGGATTTGTGCTGGATTTCCTTTTTGAAACTGCTCTGCCACAGACTGGGGCAAGTATTTGTCTGATAATCCCCAAGCAAGAAGTATTGGTTTATCCCATCTGTAATCAAATTACAAAACCTAGTTATCACTATAAGTTTAGGTTAGGATTTTGATTTTCATCCAATACACATGCATAACAAACAATGAATATGTTGAAATATCAATGGTTGATTTTCTTATTGATGATCAAATTAATAGTGTATATTGTATACAATATGTCACATTGAAAATATTCCAATCTCCCAACATGGAACTGTCAAACAGTACTTTAATCTTGTGTGAGGGTTACTGTTGCCATTTAGATGTTAAGTTCCTCAGCATCCTCTATCAAGAACAACTAATCAATTACAAAATGATAATAATAATAATAATAATAAAGCATGAATTCTTGAAGGTTCAAGTTCAATTAATATACCTCTCAGTTGCAAATCCTCCTGCTATTTCACTGAAAGTACCTTTGAAGTTAGCTTTTCTTGCAGCTTCAAGTAGAGCTGAAAGCCAACATCAGAAACTTCATTACTACTAACACTAAGTCAGCAAAACCAGTTTTGCTCATGTTCATTGAATAAATTTATGGCTAATAAACTATAGATTTTCTAATGACTGAGATGAATATATATCAGGAACAATAATTTTTCATTGACATCACCATGAACTTAGCATAAAGTAATTTTTCTTCACTTCCTTCACACTATATATATATATATATATATATATATATATATATATATATATATATATATATATATATATATATATATATATATATCGGTTTTATCAACAATTTCTTTATAATTGAATTATTACAAGCAGAAAATTCACGCCACCAAAGGGATGTCATATCACTAACCAAATCCAGGTCCACTGCTTGACAAATAAGGTAGCCGGTACACGTCAGCCTTTTCATTTTTCAGAACGTAACTGCAAAATAGTGCATCTATAATAGCAAGAACCTTAAAAGATCATAGTTTGAGGAAGTAATTATGTCCTTAACAAGAAAAATTGTTCGAATGCTCCATGCACCAAAATTACAATAATTCCACGTCTTTGAGCAATGCATTAAACGAAGGACAAGGAGGTTGGCAAAGTAACCCTTATTAGAACATATCTTAAAGGAATCACTTGTAAAAGTTTTTTATGAATAAAAATTATTATTTTAATATAGGTCTTACCTACAAAATGGCTTAAAATTTAAGAAAATTACTTATAACTCTTATTAGATCATCTCTAAAGGAAACTACTTAAAAAAGTTGTTTATGAATAAAAGTATTATTTTAATGAGTCTTGATTATAAAGTTGTTTAAAATTTGAGAAAATTATTTATTTAAATACCTTTACAATTTTAAGTAACTATTTAAGTGGAACTTACATTAAAATAATATTTGTTCTAGTAAATTCATGAGTCTCGCATCCTTTAAGAGTTGAGGTCAATGGTAGTTTATATTCACTCTCCTTTCTTAATCCACTGACAAGGACAAAATCATGATGAACTAGACTTCTAAAACGGACAATACTTTACATGTGGTAATGGACTTTAATAATGTTATTATAACGGACATATAAGCGAGACATTTTCGTTCCTAGACGAAATAATATTTTTTGTTCACAAACAACAATTTTTGAAGATGATCTTTCTTAAACTCGTGCTCAAACCTAGTACGAGCACTCCTTGGTTTATATAGGATAGGAGTAACATGTTTATAAAGGAAGTCACACGAAGGGTTAAAGATATGCAAAATTATTAGTTTATATTCCTGGGCTAATTAAATTGTTTACTTCAATCTGTGAAATAGCATAATAAGTTGCAGTTTACAGCTTCAATTTATAAAATTACCGGCCAATAGTCATGTACAATTTTTGGATACATACGGGCTACCTCCTTCAATAAACCGCTCAGCAATAATAGCATTCTGGCTTGTAAATTCACCATACAGAGGAATTCTAGAAGCATAAGAAAAGACATCAAAGGAGTTAATATAGTGTAAGAAGAAAGATCATACAGCCAATATATCACAAAAGATAAAAGGAAGCATTAAATTCAGCTGTGCAGTGACATGTAGAACATATTTATGGCCAAGCCACACATCATTCATCCACAAAAATCATAGGTAAAAAATGTCATGGAACATTCTCCTTCATTTCAGGATTTGTATAGTCAACTTCACTGGAATAAGAATTAGGCTGTTCTTCAGTTGAAGAAATAGTCAGTTACTAGATCCATGTTATGATTTTTGAGAAAATTGTCATTTACAATATCTGTTGAAAGGGAACACAGAGCTCCACGGCCTTCAAGTGATTGAAATCAAGAGATAAATCTACGGAACTATGGTATTGATTCAGCCGAGAAGTTTAGTTATGCATTCATTGGAACAGTAAGAAGCAAACCTTAGCTTCTGAAAAAGTCCAGGAATGGGAGATGAATCTGTTAATGGACTGTTTAGTATTGCTAGCTTTGATATCTTGCTTGAGTTCTTCAGGGCCCAAGTTAGTCCATATGAACCTACAAGAAATCCCTTAAGGAAGATTATGACCATATGTTAGACACAGTATTTAGTAAGGAGTTCACAAAACTTAAATGCAACCAGAAAATACATTTATTTACTAGAGATGCATCTACTGTTGAATATGTAAGTGTATCACATGTTTCACAGAATTTTGAATGGCAAAAAATGCTTGTAACTACTGATTGTATTATTCGTTCTTTAGGTACCTGAACAACTAGGAAAAAGGGAGAGTTGACCTCTAACACCTCAAGCAGTTTATCCAATGCATCATGGAACTCCTTTTCTATTAGAAATCAAAGAAAAACATTAATGAGGTTTCTGCAGGAAAATCTGCTTCATGATATAAGATGAATTCATAATAAAACCTGTGTAATTAAAACCATATCCTGGCTGTGGTTTGTCACTGAAACCAAATCCTATCCAGTCTGGTGCAAAGCAATGGAAACCTGCATCCGACAACTGTTTAAGAGGAAGAATATTAAAAAACATAATGATAATAACCACAGAATATTTAAATAGCATTAATCATAGATGCAGAAAAACATGTAATGAAGGTAAAGTAACAGTATAAAATCAAGAACAAACAATGCTCAAAAAACAATAGTTCACTTATGATCTGAAGTAAGAAGGGAAACAATAAGTACTTATAACCATTGCATGAGTTACATAAACAGATAGGTAGGTGTTCTAGTAGTAGCTGGCATTAACCACATACAGTTCATTATTGGTTTTGAAAAAGGCAAAACATACAATTACTTCTGTGTTGTTCTGTTCTCCAATAAGAAATTAAGTTTTACCTCGTTATCGGATTACGCAAATTACAGTGATGAAACTCCAATTCTAACCGGAAGAACTACACAAACAACATTTAAAGAATTTTTAAATTTTGTCCTTCTGAGAATTGTCTTATATGAGACGGTCAAAATCATTTAGAAGATCATGTTTAGATTGTCATGCCTTCAAATTTTCTGTTCACCTTAACCCGTGTTGTATACAAATAGAAGTATATCACAGATAGCATTATAACCTGAGACATAACAACTCGGTAGCTAAAAGATTGCATAGGGGCACCATGAAGGAAGACAATTGTTCCTCTCCTGCTACTTGCTGACCCTGCAAAAATAGGACAAGGGAAAAAAAACCAAAAGCGTGTATTTTCCAAACATTTCTCAAACTTGAAAACGAAAATTAGAAACCAATTCCTCAGGCAAGAAGTAAGCAATACCAGTTTCTCTCACAAACCATCTTAACTTGCCAGATTTAACGTATGACCCGTATTCCTTGCCCTTGTCTTCTATCCTCTAGCAACATAAAAACTATTACTACATCCCCACTTAAAGGAAACCATCATAACTATTCAATCGATCATAAATAGGTGAATAAACATCATGTCATGCACAAACAACATAAAGTCTTCAATATTATCAAGACTCAAAGGATGTAGAAGGAACGATTAGTACATATAGCATTTGGCCAACGTTGCCATCCTCAGCAGGGTTTTCAGGCAATTGAATAGCACTGCGGCTCGAAGGGTTGTCAGTGACAAACCCAAAAGGGTTGAACGCTGGGGCATCTTTGTCCTTGGATTCACCCTTCTCTGTGGAGCTCGCTCTCACTGAAACACTTTTTGTGTTTGATTTTCTTCTTTTACAGTAGTATGTGGTGGAAGAAATGGCAAGGTTGAGAGTAGGAGAGAACACAGCAGAAAAGGCCATTGTTGGGTTTGTGATCAATGGCAGAGGTGACTTAACGGTTCACTGTGAACATATCCAATAGTTCTAGCCAATTTTTTTTTCTTATGTTTTTCTTTTCTTGATGTTTCGTAATTGCGGTTGATGTCCCCACTTCAACGTAGTCCTCATATATTTCCACCTAAGATGTGGCATATAGTGTAACTGGTATCTTTGTCTCCATCATGTTTTAATTGTTTAATTAAAAATTCTAGCTCTCTCTGCTCCACAATTTTATTCTACGTCTATAAAATGGATTATGAAGTCTTAATAAGAAATATTTACCCTTTGCTAGGTGTCTGCCACAATTTAAAAAATGGGAATATAAAATTTGAAATATTCATTTCTTTCAAAAAAAAAAATTTATATAATGTGTATACCTTGTTGCAAGGTAACTGTAATTGATTTCATACGTAAAATTCTTATTTTCAACTAAATTTCTTACTCATTCTGAACAACCCAGTCGTTGGTTTTTCTTAACAATTGGTTAGAGGAAGGGTAAAGTATTTTTTACTATCCTACTCCAAGCAAGTTTCCCCAAGGACCTGAATAACTGTAGGGGAAGAGCTTCTGCCACCTTGTCCAAATCTTAATGTGTGAATTCTGATGTGAATTTTGGGGATACTTCTCCTGTTGTGACATCTGATTTGGCTGATGATCCACCAAGAACTTTTGAGAAAAAGAAGCTAGGTAGCCTAAAACTAAAGAATAAAGGGTACAAATATGAATTTTTAGCTCTTGTTAATTAGAATCTTGTTGCATGTATATTTCCTTTGTTAATTACGATAGCATACATGAGTGGGTTAGTCTTTAGCTCAACGAGAAAAATGTACTCGAATATTTGCAGCCTTGGTCAACTTCAATTCGGGTTTGTCCCTTACAATTTGAATAACACGACAGTGTAAGTTTAATATATCATATAGGGGGTCAATACCTTATAATTCCACCATATGACAGCAAGCTTCATTAGGAATTACTATATCTCTCGAAACCAGGTTTTGCTTTGAAGGAATATGATCCTGGATCGCCCTCCAAACAAATGCTTGAATCTTCAAAGGCACGGAACTCCACCAAACCTTGTTTAGGATGTCTCCATTCTTCACATTACCCTGTCCTATCACCATTTTATATCTTGACTTGACAACATAAACCCCTAATAAGGCCTCCCTCTTCAACACCACTCATCTCCTACCCTTACTTCTAATATTACTTGTTCCAACTCCAATTCTAGTTCTTGTACCATCCCTTCTCCCACTCAAACAAATTTCTACGCCATAAACATTGGGTACGTTGGCTCTAGGGACCCTTTTCCTACCCACTTTTCCTTCCAAAACTATATATCACACCCGTCCCCAACCTTTTTATACATATATTACTTGAAATTCATTCTGATTCTTCTCCATCATAACTCCCTTCTAATTATTGTATGTCCTTCTATCAAGAAGATCATTTCCTCTTGCTCTCCCTTCTATATTCAATCCTTCCTTCCATACTTATATGGAAAGACTTTATACAACAAGGATTTATCCTCTGTTTTCAACCACCACTCCACCCCCCAACCCTCCTGCCTCCTTATTCTCTGTACATGCACAAGGACATTGGATTTAAAAATTAATTTAATTGTTATGGTCAATATAGTTGCCCACACAATGTGCCCGTCCATGTCTAGTTTCTATAATGATTTAATGGAGATCAAAATTGGCATATGACTTACCTAAGCACAGAAATATATATACATTTCAATGTTAAAGTTAGAATTTGCTACTAGTGGGCTTGTAGCTACTCTTCTGGATGTTCTTGCTAAAATGTTTACCAGAAATTTTTACATGAACACGAACCGTGCCTAAAATGATGGAATCTGGTTTTATCCCTAATTATTAGTTCCCTGTTGTAAGCTTCTGACACCAGCTTTGCCATATGGTGACAATCCACACACATTCTAAGGTTCTTTACTATTCTTATAGTAACTCCAGGCCCTGAACTAATAAGGGCATAGGCAATAGCCAACTTCTCACTGTGCCGGTAAAGTGACGTCTCCTTATCTTCTTCCCCTAGATCAAGGAAAACCTCTGATGTATCAGGTGAGTACCCTGCTTTTATTAAGTCTTGCATCATGTTTTCTAACTTCGCATATATATCTTTAGATTGAGGATGTGACTGGTCCCCAGCAACAAATTCATAAACATTGCCATTCAACTCCATCAAACTGCAACCTGGTGTTTTCTTAATTCCCCTCTCCATCATCATGTTCCTGACCTGACGCAATTTTTCCCATCGCTTGCAGGCAGCATATATATTACATAACAGGACATAAACAGACCCATTTTCAGGCTCTAACTCAAGAATTTGTTTAGCTGCCATTTCTGCTAGCTGCACATTTTTATAGACTCTGCAAGCGCCAAGAAGTGATCCCCAAACAATTGAATTTGGTTTTACAGGCATATTCACTATGACTTGAATGGCTTCTTCTAAATGCCCAGCGCGACCAAGGAGATCAACCATGCATCCATAATGTGTCACATTAGGTTTAATTCCATGTTGCATGGTCATGGCAGCGAAAAAACTTTTTCCTTTATCTACGATGCCTGCATGTGTGCATGCACAGAGTACACCAATATAGGTTATCTCATCTGGTGTAACTGAAGCCTCTATCATACTTGAAAACATGGCAAGAGCTTCTTCACCATGGCCATTATTGGCAAGGCCAACTATCATTGCTGTCCATGTAAATTTGTCTTTCTGATGCATTTCCTTAAATACTGTTTTGGCTTTTCCAACATTCCCACATTTAAAGTACATGTCGATTAGAGCATTCCCGACAAAAGTATCATTTTTAATACTGTTTTTGTCAATGTATGTCTTTACCCATTCCCCTAGCTCAAGTGCCCCCAGATGCGCACAAGCTGTTAGAATGCTAACCATGGTGAACTCGTCAGGTTTCACATTTGATATTTGCATCTCACGGAAGAGTGCCAAAGCCTCTATGAAACGGTTCATCCTAAGGTAGCCATCAATCATAGCAGTCCAGGAAACGTAATCTCTCTCAGGCATTTGATCAAAATACTTCCGAGCTAAATCAATTTGACCGACATTGGCAAACCCAGTAACAATGGAAGTCCAAGAAATAACATCTCGAGTTTTCATATTGTGAAAAACACCTTGCGCAGCATCCATTTCTCCACAGGATGCAAACATATCAATCAACGCATTTTCCAATATGAGATTAGGTTCAATAGTACCGTCCTCAATATACTTAAAAATGTGCTTGCCCCCATCTAAATCCTTCGATTTGGAGAATGCAGAAAGCATCAATACTAGTGTAACTGAATTTGGAGACACTCCTCTCTTCTCCATCTCAATAAAAAGTTTCTTTGATTTCTTAAATTGCTTAACTCTGTTATACCCGGATAGCATTATATTCCAGGTAACTACTTCCCATGCATCGCCCATACAAAAAACCTTGCAAGCCAAATCCACAAGCCCACACAAGGAAAACATATGTATGACAGCCTTTCGAACAAACAAATTAGAATGAAATCCATGCTTCACTGCATGGTTAAGTAAGACTTTCCCGTGCTGCAAAGCCATGTCACAGGTAAATCCCTTCAACAAGAACGGAAATGTAAAACGATCAGGCTTGATGCTATTAGCCAGCATTAATACATACACCGAAACTCCCATATCAGGACGGTTGATTCTAGAATACCCCTTGATCATGGTATTCCAAATGAACACAGCTGGGTGCGGGATTGTGTCAAACACCAGACGGGCATAGTCCATATTCCCTGATTGATGGGCACAACAAAAGGCTACAACTCTATTTTGAAATAAAGGGTCTGAAGCGAGACCCATTTTGATGGTATGGGAGTGAATTTGCTTTAGCTGGTACATGGACTTGCACCTCTCAAGCAAAGAGATTGGAGATTCTCCAAAGCAGTTTGAAGAAGACATAACAGTAGTAGCAGGAGCATTAGAAATCATTCTACAGGGGAACCTAGAAAATGAAAGTGTGAAGGTTGCAAGTGAAAAGGACAAGGGAGTTGGTAAAGAAAACATGGAGAACATATCACCTCATTCATTTAGGCTAGGCTATACCACCAATACAACGTTATTTTAATTGTATGTAAGATCAATGTGACAACTATGCATTCATGTTTTGTGCTCCTTCCTGATTCTACTTCAATTCAACAACCTAATAGAACCATACCTCCAATCCAACAAGAGAATATACCTCACCACTCTCAACTCAAAACTTATCCGTCAACTTCCCCTTCAGTCCAAACTAACCTAGACAATAAATTTCGAGGATTCTCATTTATATATTATTCATTTTCTTTATTTCTATCCTCATTTTTTATCCAACGCAAAACTTCAATTCACAAATCTTATTACATCTAACATATTTCACTTGATTATGATAAATTTGTTCATTTTATTTATGGTTTTTAATAAAAAAGTACTATTATTTTGTTTTCGACAAAAAATATATTTTTATTTAGTTCTTATGATTTACTTACATTTGTTAAATAATACGCTACCCATTGATTGACACGTAAGCAGTTAAGAAATATTAACTTTTTTCTCTTGATATATTTGTAAATTTTGTTTTTGTCTTCAATATAACTTTTTTCCTATTGTTGTTTCACATAAAAATATATTTATATTTTGATCTATATTATTTATTGCCCATCATTTAAAGGATAAGTTATCCATGAAGTGATGACGTTAATCTTTGACATGTGTATTTTTAAAACTATTTTGTTTAAAAGAAAAAAATGTAATCAATATGATTCAGATGGTATTTGAGATTGAATCTCATGTTTTGTTAGGTATTGACTAGTTGATAGCGAATTACAAATAACGTGAAAAACACGTAAGAACAAAATATTTTACTCATTTAAATAGGCAAAGAAATTTTTTTCAAGATTTTTCATTATTTAAAGAATGTTAATAAACGATTGGGACTAAAATAGAAATATTTTTTTTATTGAGGATAAAAATGATTGAGGACTACCAAAAGCAAAATCTATGATTTTATTCGGGATAAAAGAAAAAAAAAATCATGTGACAATCCTACATAACTCGTCACATAATAACTCATCACTTAATGGATGTCATCAAATGACAGATCAAAACAAAAATAAACAGTTTATCGAGAATAAAAAAAAATAAAAAGTATTGAGAGTATCATTCAACCATTTTTAATTGAAAATTCAATCAGTGAATTAATTACAATTATATTATGCATAAAATTAGTGAATGATGTAATACTTGTATGTCAGACCAGGATGATCCTTTTCCATTATATAATATTCTATCAAATTAAAAGTATGGTTCTTCACTTTATAAAAAACAATATCATTTTCTTTTAATAAAAGTCATATTTAAATTTGCTGATAATCCATCAGTTTACATAGTTGTTTGTTTTATTCCAACAAAACAAATTTACAAACAATAGACTTCAAAACTTTCAAAATACTTAACCAAAAACAATCTATTTACAGTAAACAAATTCTTAATAGCGAATCTAACTTAATAGACTCATTGTATGCGGTCAATTTATAAACTAGGTAATGTTTGGTTTCGCAACAGGTTATGTCAAATGTAGATCCATGATCCACGTCATGCAGAGCTAATATAAATAACTTCCATTTTTCGAACCGAAATGTGATGTAATACTTTAATCGTTGAGCCAAACATGCAACTACTTGGTTAAAACAATCATACAAGTTTGATTCAAAATTTGGTCAATTCGACTTCCAATTCAATTTTGGAAATATTTATGGAAATACGTGAAGTAAACACAAGAGTAACTGGTAGACCAATGGCATTCGTATTCTCTCCTATCAACCACATGTATCAAATTAGTAATTAGGCCAAAGTTTATACCTGCGGTATAAAAAATCTGCCATTGTAACCCTAGAAAAGCAATCCTTCCAGGTTCTTCATTCAAAATTTGAAACTATGAATCTTTCATGTTTTCCATTGAAAAAATGAAAGTATCTACAATCGTTTTCTTGGTACAAAAGGGTTATTTAGGCCAAGAAGATGAAATTTGAATAGAATTAATCTTTATACTATAAACATGTAATGAAAATCCTGACAATCACACGAATTAAAATCTACTCCAGAATCTGTCCCTACATGAAGAAACGTATACCTGAAATTCCATTTTCGCATGTACAATTGAAATATCTAGAATAATTCTGACTGGAACCAATCCTTGGCACAAATAAGGGCCTCAAGAGTGAGGGAGCTTAAAGAACTCCGATAGCTATCAATTTTTCTAATCTGGGTGTCAAAAACAGAATCTGCAGACAGAGTGGAAACTGGTAAAGACAAAATATCAGATGCGATTCTAGACAATGTCGGGTACTTAAATCCATTTACTCTCCACCAGCTTAGAATATCAAATTCTTCCACTCTGGTCAGCAGAGGCTCTTCCAGATACTCGTCCAATTCTGATTTAAATTGTGTGTTACTAGTAAAATCAGATATATAAAATTCATAATCAGAAAGTCCATCTTCATCAACAAAAAGTGAGCAGTCAACAGATCCTTCTTGACATGTTTCCTTTATCATAATGTCATTCCCATCATCACCATTTGCTGCTGTTAGAAACATTTGGGTGCTATATTCAATGAATAGATCACGAAGACCATCCTCAACAATCTTAATCCATGACTCAGCATTCACACCAAATGTCTTAGCAAAGGTAAATTCCACAAGTTTCATTTTATGTCTTGGGTCCATAGCTACAGCAATTGCCAGGATGATGCAGCTTTCTCTCCAATATTTGTCAAAGTTCTCGTGCAAAGGCAAAATACGACTTCTTAGGAGAGGATCCTGGATGAAGGCTGCTTGTGTCAGCTCCACCTGAACTTTTGACACTTCAGCAAAAAATAAATTTGAAGTTGGGTATGGTTGCTGTGTCAAAATTTTAGCTGCATCATACAAATACCTCAAATATGTGCAGAGAGTTTCAACCTGCTTCCAGTCATCCTCTGTTAGAGTCATTCTGTAATCATGATCAGTGGTATCAAGGCAAGTGAAGACTTCCTTTAATTCACAGGCAGCTACAAGCATATGATAAGTGGTGTCCCATTTACACGGGTCATCAATTGAAAGATTCACCATACTAGGAACTTGTAATTGTTGCTTCAAGTCAGTAAATTTGTCTTTATGAGATTCGGAAGATTTCACATGCTTTACACTATCACGAACCTTGCTAATAGTTTCGTTCATCGCCCATAGTGCATCAGCTGCAAGGCGACTAAGCACACGAGCATAACAATTCTGGTTTAACAACTGTCCATTGAGTATGGCAGGGTTCTTAATAGAGAGTAGGACTCTCAGATTTTCCATCACAGTCTCATTGGAAAAGGATTTATCCAGCGCAAGGGTAAACAGCCGACCTTCCAAATGCCAATCAGATAAGCAGGTCACTAATGTTTGATTTAAAGAGTCTTCAGAACCAGGAAATGGTACCGTAACAACATTGAGAATAGGACGATGTAAGTTCCAACCACTATCAATGAAGTGTCCTCGAACAAAAACATAGCCTATTGCCTGGTTCGAAGTCCACAATTCCAATGTCAGGTTGACTTGTCCAGGAATCCCACTAATAAAATTCAACAGATTTTGCTTTTTCCTGAGGTAAATAGCAACACAATCCTCTTCAACAGAATTTAAACATGATGGATTGAACTGGGGTTGAAGAATCCGTAAAAAATCAATGAAACCCTGTTGCTTCACAATATGAAGAGGATAATCATGTAAAATTATCATTTTGGCAACATCATGGCTGCAACGCTCCTGATCAACTGAGATACCATTACCAGTAAACCTGGGAGTTCCTCTTGGCCGTTTCTTGGGTGGGTTGGTAGTACATTGAGAACCACCTGTTTTGGGATATGAGCTTTGTTGGTTTTTATCCCGAAGTACTTGACAGATTCCCAAAGAGATGTGTCTTTTCAGATGGCTTGTACCGGCTAGTTTTGAATCAGTTATATAAGAAAATGATTTCTTGCATTGATTACAGTAAGCCCTGGTACATCCTGCTCCGACAGTTTCTACTGTGAAGTATTCCCACACCATAGACTTTTTTCTCATCCGCTTATTGGGTTGTGTTCCAGAATAAGGTATCACATCATTATTATCAGGGGTAACACGAGCATCAAGCTCCATGGCAGCACGAGTAACCCTAGAAAAACAAAAAGTTACAACATCAGAAGGGCTTCAATAGGTGCCTTGCCTTCATAAACAACAAAGGAGGACTAAAATTATATTATTTTTCATACAAAACATAAATAACAAATTGAACAAGAATTTAAAAGGCCATAGAAGTTCAGCTGCTATGGACAAATTCTGATAAATGGATATACAAATAAAAAGGAAATTATATAGCAAAACAAAGTACCAAGAACTCTAAGTTTGTTGGAAAGTCTTGAGTTTCTGAGGAAGGTTCAATATCATCTCATGAAATGAAATCCAGCATGTGAAAATCTACTCATACAGTCAAAGCTAACAAAGTTCATTAAAGGAAATATATCAACATTTCATCCTCATCCATACTAGTATTTCCTGTGAAGGGAAATCATCACGTCCTTTTTCGTTTGCTTTCAATTTTTACATTATAAATAAAAAATGTTATAAGCACAATGTTTTTAACCCTATGCTATTTAACACACAACTAGTAAATAACTAAAGCATTAACACACAATAATTTTTGTACAAATAGTTATTAATCTTGGGAAGGGCGCATAGTGGCCAACTCTCAAAATGATATAGCAGTATAGCAGGAGTGGGATGCCACCATTTTAAATACCATAATTGTGACTAAATAATTTATACTACACATATGAATACTTGAATAGAAGAAAAAAAAGAATTTAGTGATAAATAATACAGTCACGATTTACACATACAATCACCATCAATTTAGGAGTAATAAGAACAAAAAAACATAACAAATTAGATGAAAATTAGCAGAATGTGAACTAGGAAGTTTAAAGGAATAAGAAAGAACAGAACACAAGTAGAAAAAGATTTCCCTGTACAGTGAGCAGAAAATGCATTCAAAACAGGGAGAGTAATCACAATTTTATCCAAAAACTATAAACATGTTTCAAGCGAGAAAAAAAATTATATTTGTAGCATATATCACGGTAGTGCTGCTACAGCACACATAAAGCCACTATTTTGGCCACCATTGCAACCACAATTGAAAACCACTTCACTATTTCAATCATATAGACGTCCAAGGTCACTCCCTAATCTGCTATAGCATGCTATTGGCTACTACAAAATTATCCAAACAAAATATTTTTCCATTAGGTCAGCTACATGGATCCTGTCAAAAATAGAGTTAGCACACTACTACAATATTAAAAACAATCCATCCATCATAGTTATTAGAATCTTATGATTTAAATCATATGATTCAATGTAATTTGTCTTAACCAGTGTTTTACATATCGTAATCAATCTCCAATTACTTGAATCTTATGATACACAGATGAATCAACATAATTTTGTATCACCTAAGGAGACTTGTAAGTGATGACAAGAGGATGCAAAAGGAGGTGAACAAACACTGATAGAGGAGTGGGGAATCGATTCTTAGATAAAGCACTGAACAAAGGTTTGTGTATAGGAGAAGATTAATAGGTTTAAGTGAGTAGGAGGACTGGCACACTGGAACGGAGTAGGACAAAAGCATGTGTAGTCCCATATCCATTTCAAAACCACATTAAAAAGGATGCAGCAACAACAACACCCATAGCAATGGCATGATGAAGTGGTGATGGCAGATCCTAGGAATAACATCTGCTCCTCAAATAAAACTGCTTAAAACAAAGCCTGCAAATAACTTCTGCTCATTTATCTCAACAGTCATACTAACACTCAAAAATTAAAGGTAGCATTCACATTTTATTTCTCCGTAACATCCACAAAAAAGACAAATCCGTTTAGATAGTTTAAAACTCTGAGCGGGGTGGATTGACAAATAGAACACCCTAAACTCATATCCGCCGGCATCATCAACAGAGCAAAATAACAAAATCTAAGCAAAAATAAAATAAAACCACGATTTTCTATTTCTTCAAGAGAATAAATAAAAAACAATTAACATTAAGTGTGCACAAGCCACAACGCAACAATTCACTTGAACCCAATAGCCAACTCACTCATTTAACATCACAATGACAATGCATGGCGAGGACAACGACGACTAAAAGCACAAGGAATAGGTTTTGATTGAAACATAGATATTAATTCAAATAATATATACATTTCCCGTTCTTTCGCTTAGGGATCGAACATAAACAATACACAACAGTGAGTAGAACCAAAACAGAGAGACTCTAATCGGTTACAGAGTAGCATTACATTCAATTCAAATAGTGAAGAGAGAACCTTGAGAAAAGGGAGAGTTGCAAGAGCACGTGCCACAGCCACGGCGAGAAGAGAGAAACGGCGTTGTGAAGTGAATGGAGAGAAAACCGAATGAGAAAGGAGTGCTTATACACACACGTGTGAGTTCGTGTGTATATATATAGATGAATATATAGATATAGAGACGGAGAGAGAGAGAGAGAGATAGGAAGGAGTAGGGAAAAGCAAAGAACGATTATCGTTTGGAAGATGGAGAGAATGTGTCCTCGCGGCCGAGAGAAGGAAAGGAGGCAATCAAGGGTTCAAACTTCGCGACTTCTAAACTGCTTCCCAATTTGCACTTCTAAACCCTTCGTAGCTATAGGGTTCATGCTATATATAATAATATATAATATATATAATTCAATTTCAAAAATAAAGAGAAAATAAATATTGGAGATAATAATTATGAGGATTTATTTCTTTTATCTGTACACATAATTTATTATTATTTCAGATTTGACCTATTTTTGTTTCGGAGAGATAAATAAAAAATGAATATATATTATTTCTATAAAAAATTACAATAAAGTAGGAGTATTAATGGTTAAAGTAAATATACATGACACTATGTACAAATTTAAAATATGTTTCTTTTTTTTCATTTAAAATCCTTATTTAATTATCCACTTTATAAGATATATACCTATGATATGTACGTAGAAAAAAAATTATAATGTAGGTTTTGTAATGTTTCGATGTCAAATATAAATAAAAGGTACATAAGTTACAAATATTTGTGTTTAAGTCTTGATAATCTAATTCTGGAATAATATACTAAGAACATGGACTCATTTAAATTATAAAAAGAATATTAGAAAAGGTAACAAAATGTCAAAAAAAAAATTATAATAATATGTAACGAGGTTTTTCATTTGGTGTAATTATTTTCCTATTTTATCTTTAATAATATTTTAAAATGACTACACTAAATATATTACAACCATCAATGTAACAAAAAATAGTCATAATTTATAAAATAATAAGAAACAAATAACAAAATATATTATACTATCCATGTAAATACACATGGAATATTATGCATCATGAAAAATAACAATTTAAAAAAATATATAGCAAATTGTAAATTGTTTTTTTATTATTACACTTTTAAATTCTACGTATTTTAGAGTGGAAACCATAAATAATTTAATAAAATAATATGATAAATTAAGTCAGTTTAAATTGGACGCTTGAAGGATAGTCACGAGAGTTCCAATGTAAATTACGTGGGATGTCAGTTGTGGAAAATTATCCTGAAGTGACACAGATTTATTTTTTAATTACTTATATAACATAGTTTTTTTTTTAAATTGAGAATTCAATTTCCTGATGATTCATGAAACTTAAACATGGTTGCATTTTTTTTTCAAATAATATAGAATTTGGTTGTCAGGCAACCGAATTTTGAATTTTTTTTTAAGAAATAAAAATTAAATAATATATATATAATATTATAATGTTTTATTTAAAATTTATAGTTTTAAATTATAGTTTTGAAAATATTTATATACTTATTAGATTAATAATATATTTAGATTTATTGATAAAAATAGTAAAATAATATTTTTAAAATATATTATTAAATATTTTATTTGTAAGATTAATTTTTTTTAATTCTTTAATTTATTTCATATTGTAATATTTTTTTAGAAATTAATAATAAATTAGGAGGATAATAAAAATCTTAAAAATTATATGTATATAAGATGGAATAATATTTTTATGTAAAATTATATTTTTGAAATGTATTTTTTTGTGTTTTGTAATATTTTGGATATATATATATATATATATATATATATGTTTTATATTTTAGAAATGAAAATAAGTTATAGATAGGAAATATGATGTATTAATATTTTTGAAATCCTTTCTACATTAAATAAAAAAATTTGTGAAAAAAATATACGTAAAACTATAACTTTTTATTTAAAATTTGTGGAGTTTGAAATTATAGTTTTAAAAGAGTTATATGTTTATTAAATTAATTGTAATATGTTTTAAATTATAGTTTTAAAAAAGTTGTATGTTTAAGAAATAAAAAAATATATAAGTGTAATGTAATTTATTAATATGAATTTAAATTCTTGTAAGATTTTAAGAATTGATATGTTATATAATAGGATATGAGAACATTGATGAAGAATGGAACAATGTATAATTATAATTGAATAGGAAATATATTTATTGAATGAAAGTCATTACATCTAAAATAGTTTACATTTCACCCCCTCTTATATATTGAATCCAAAGTTTAAGTTGTTCCCTTGATTCATACACATGTAGTAGACGTGTATATCTTGTTTAAATGAACAGTTTGATGTACTGCCACGTGTCCAGAAGATACACAGAAAAGTTCATCCGTTGAACTTTTTTCGAGTTGTTGATCATTTGTGCAATATCATTATCTGATTTGATTTCAACTGTGTCATGTATAAGTATGTTATTAACTACCCTGATGGGACGAAGGTAGTCAATTTTTTATACTATGGAACGGTTCCCACAATGTATTCTCTGGGTTATTTTTTGTACAAGCTCATCAAAGGTGAAATTGTGGGGGATTGACATGGTTAAAGTAGTGTCTGATATGAAACATAGCCCGTAACCATATGGGCTATCTTTGATGGCTTCCCGTTTGGAAATTCCTCCATAGTATAACTTTGCTGGTGACGCGGGAAAGGGTTTGGGTTTGTGGAAGAGGAAGAGGAATTTGGTTGTAGAAGACCAAATATTTCCTCAGCCGACCTTGTGAAGGTAACAAACAATTACATTATTGTGTTAATGGGTGAATTAGACTTACAATTAATCATTTCTACAACGTCAGCATCTGTTGATATTTGACGAGCATCATACACAATGGCTCATTCTTCATTGCATGTGCGTCTTTGGAAGTATAGCTTGTTAATGGTTGTGGTGGGTGAAAGTTCTAGAGTTAATGACACTTTTTGGTTCAAAAGGTTGAATGTGGAGTTGTAAGGAATGCGAAAGAGCTTTGAACTTTCACATTGGAACTGCACATCATCGTCAGATTGAATGATTTCTCCGTTTAAAAACAAGACTGCGAGATAGGAATTTGAATAGTTTTCTTGATCGTTGATGCCAAAGTTCTCCATCTGAGAGAATTGGATGTGTTTATCTGTGCAGGGTGGTGGTTATAGTGGGTGGGTTTATTATACAATAGAAGAGTAGGATAGGTTAAATCTGAAGTATTTGTATTTATAGGGAAAGTAAATTTGGGTGTTGGTATGGATTGAAATTAGGAGGACTTCATCCATCAGTTTTAAGTGTAGTACAAGTTCATATCTCCCTAGACACACTTACCAAATAGAGGTGATAGGTCTTGTGTTAGTGGCAGGGTACATGTGAGGGCATTGATTGAGAGAGTGAATGAGTCAATGCATGCTAATAGCCATCAACTTTTGCAGTAAGAATAGTTCATATCTCCCTCATAGGCACACTTAACAAATAAAGTTGATATGTCTTATCTTAGTGGCATGGTGCATGTGAAGACATTGATTGAGAGAGTAAACAAGTCAATGCATAGTAATAGTCATCAACTTTTATAGTAGGAATAATTTATATCTCCCTTGACACGACTACCTAATAAAGTTGATAGGTATTGTCTTAGTGACTTGGTGCATGTGAAAGCATTGATTAGAGAGTGAATTAGTTAATGCATAGTAATAGTTTATTAAATGTGTAAGTTATTAAGATACTAATTTAATTGAATTTGTAAGTTATTAAGATAATAATTTATTGTATTTGTAAGTTATTAAGATACGAATTTTTTGAATTTATAGGTTTTTTATTCATCATTTGAAAAGTTTATATTATAAACTCAACATAAGGTAGTTAAATAACAACAGTTCAAACACTAAAACTAATTGTTTGTTATTTAATCCCCATAATGGTGTCCAGTTCCACATCGGGGTCGCCTTCTGTTCCTAGTTGGATTCTTCCTTCCCTGGAATGTTCTAAGTGCTTCTTCCTCTGAAGGTTTGGCTTCATGATGCTCTGCATCTTCATGACCTTGATATGCATCGGAGGATGACACTGTTTCATTATGATATTAGACATTATAAGGGGATTGTTGATAAGGTCCTTCAAAACCCTGTGCTAAAGGTGGAGTTGGGGCATATGCTCCAAAAATGCTTGGCATTCCTAAATCAGAGAAGGAAGAAATTAAATGTCTTCTTGCATCCATAGTTCCTTCTATTTCTGGAGTGTTGTAATTATGCTCAATGTCATCATGTTGAGGAGGTTGTGCATGTGTTGAAGTCGATGCCCGATGCATCCTCGGGTCATGTAACATTTGTGGAACGGACAAAAACAAAAATGAGTTTGCCACAAACCACGACATATACTCACTACTATGGAAAAGTGACCCTAAAAGTGTTAATTCAGTCAATATCAGATCACACCTGTTCTTCCATACATCTATCCATTTCGCATGTATAGTAACCTAATTTTCATCTTGTCTCTCCCTCATGTCTACTTTATGCATATCATTAAGGTTGTTGGGTGAGTCAGGAACATCTTGTACCAAACAAAATTTTAACTTCACCCTGTCTGACTGGTGTCATTCAACAATTGAAAAACAAAATAAACTTGTGCAAAAGGTCCACAATGTTTGGTCCCTGTATGCTTCGGCAGAAATGATTGACTTCAATCCCTCATATGGAACCCATATAAACTATGTCACCAATACTAAAGTGAGAAACTTAGTAAATTATGAACATTAAAAAGTGAAGTTAAAAATAGAAGTGAACCTAGTTAGGTTCAATGTGATCTATCCTTGATTCGTAGCCAAGTAAATCATTGTGGCGAACATTTTGATAGTTCAGTACATGACCCCTGCTCCATCGACATACAAGGGGAAACTTCAATTGAATTCGTGAAATTGATGCAATAAAGGGCATATGAAAACATGCTCAGGACTGTAGTAACAAAGCACATCCACTCATGGTCTCCGCACGCTGATCTGTTGCTTTACACATCTCCATGTACAATACAGCTAAACAAGCAGAACCTCAACTATAGAGTCGAGTTATGCGAAGATTACTTAAAAATTTCAAGTACATTAAGTGTACCTTATTACCAGTTTTATTATGCATTAAAATCCCTCCAATCAATCCTAATATATATGTCCTTGCATGGACATGTATTTCCTCTATATTTGATTTCTCTTGTAATGAGACCATATTTTCCTTAAGTCACTTTAACTTCACCAGAGACCCTATCAAAGACTCCCCCTTTGTAGGATAATACCTAATAACGTATGACACATGTCCTCCCAATCAAACATCGTTGGTCCAATCATAGGTGTACCATCAATTCTAAGCCTCAATTGAAGTGAAACATCTTGCAATGTTATTGTGCATTCTCCTGTTGACATATGAAAAATATGTGTCTCAGACCTCCACCTCTCCACCAAAGCTATAACTAAAACATGATCTACCTTTAAATGTCTTAATTTAGCAACACCGTCGAACCCAGTTTCTTCTATTACGGGAAGAAGAAGAGGATATGGTTCCGGCATGGAATGACAGTATGACGACACAATACTTTGTTCTGCGTCCTATATAGTAAAAAAATAACATTTTTTAATGAGAAAGAAATAACTTGAACAATAATAACAATAGAACTAACATACTATCAAAGCACTGTAGGCAACTCTGTGTTCTTGTTGTCTCCATAACACCATTTTGTTAACCTTCTTTCTTCAATCTTGACTAACACTCTTACAAATTTTGTAGTATATGATTATGATGACCGTAAGTGTGGTTATTGAACTTCGCTTTTCAAAATATATAGATTAAAAGTCTGTACGCTTAATAAAAGCTTGTTAGACCATGTACAAATTGGATATAAATCCTGTGCGTTAATCTCTACATATTCAATTTGAACCCTCTGATTAAAGTTTATGTACTTTGTGACAAGGACTAAAGTCTGCACACGTTATTGATGGTGGTTAAACCTCGTGCAGTGTGGGTTATCTTTGATGGTTGTCCATGAGAGCAGAATGCATGTGAGAGCATTGATTGAGAGAGTGAATGAGTCAATGTATGGTAATAGTTATCAGCTTTGGGGAGTTATGGTATGACACAATACCATTATTTATAGTGTCATAATGGGCAATGTATGTTTTTTTAGTTAACAGCTACAATTGAAAGCACAAAAATTGAGCGCACAGAATTCATATCCACTACATAAGGTCAGCCATAATGACACGGTCATGCTTTAATAAAACCCTGTCAGACCTCGTGCAGTGTGGATTTAAATAATGTGTGTTCATCTTTAAAAATTTAATTTCAACCCTCATATTAAAGTTAGAGCACTTTGTCACATGGACTAAAGCCTTCACGCGTCATTCATAGTGGTCAGACCTCGTGTAGTGTGGATCTAAATCATGTGTGTTCATCTCCACAAATTCATTCTTAGCCATTAGATTTTGTATGTGGAATTATCATTGTTGTTGGCCCAAGTGAACCATTATCCTATAAATAGAGCAACTTCGACCAATCAACTCAGTGACAACGTACTGTAACCAACAATGACATCTACAGTTTTTGCAGTATTGGTGTCCTTCAACGGCACCATCTTAACGAAAGAAAACTACTCTGAAACATTGCACAAAATTTCATTCAAAGATTAAAAAATACAACTATGAAGAAAAACCTTGTGAACATGGGTAAGTACTTAAAATTCCAAAATTTTATTCAATTATGTGTGATCTTCCATTATTCTTCATTATATTTAATGAGTATTACTTTATAATTATATTTGCAGCACACCCAATGACTAAGCCAAGATGTAACTATTACTACAATATCATAAGGGAAGAGAACTCGGAAGCAGCAACTTGTATTGACCAAATTCCAAGACATCAATGGACACTTGCGTATGATGAAGGCAGAAGATGCGGTCACCTCACAACTAATCTGGCCGACACTATCAACTTAGTCTTAAAGAAAACAAGAAATCTATCAATCTCCTCCATAGTATTTGCCACATATACCAGATGCAACACCTTCTTCACAGAAAGAGGGAAACACATAACTATAATGATAAGTGTTGGTCATGTCTATTCTGAAAATGTCACAAAGGTCCTACAAGATGGTGATTCAAAATCAAATACCCACAGGGTGGTTGAATTTGATAGAAATACGACAAGATTCAGGGTGGAGAAAATAGTCAACCCAAGATAAATACGTCCTCCGGGTACATTTGTTGTTAGGTTGGATGAACGATTGTGTGATTGTGGGAAGTTTCAAAAAATTTATATATTGTGTTAGCAGCTTGCAAACATGTCCATCATGACTTTAACATGTATATCAGTCCCCACTATAGGTTGGATGTCATCATGAAAGTGTATGACCATATGTTTGGGGAGCTAAGGCATGAACAATATTGACTACCATATGAAGGCCCACAAATTTTGTCAAATCCAACCACGAGAAGGAGTTCAAAAGGTTGATACAAATCAACTAGAATCAGGACATCAGGGAAGGAGGACATCTACGAAAGTGTTCATATTGTAAAACACAAGGGCACACAAGAAATCATTGTCCTCACAACCCTAGCATTAGAGGATGCATATCCCATCTTTAATTGTATTAAACTTTTGTACTATCTTTCATCCATTCAATAAAAGTTCTATTCACTTACATCTTAATTTGTTTTTTCTTTTACATTTTAAATATATATTTCATCTAGTCTAAACATATTTTTACTATAAATTATTCTTTAATTATATAATAGTAACTTAAGAAAGATGAAATCTATAATAGGAGTGTGACTTTTTGGAACTTATGAGTAGGGTTGCGAGTGTGATAAAAATGAGATAATCATGATTTCTTGTAATATTCCAAGCAATAAAGACATAATACGAATTTAACAAATTATGAAAATCTTAACATTAACACAACTTTATTTTAAAAACTGTTACAACACGCAAATATAGTGAGACTAACAATATTACACAACATCAAAAAGACAAACTACAACATAAAAAAGACTAATATATATCATCAACTATAGTTAAACTTAGTATAATTAAACTTAATAATACTATTAAAAAATGTACTTCAATGTTTTGTACTTGTTAATTAATTTATTTCTCCATCTCCTATTATTTAATATTTCTAATAAATTTGATAATACATTTAAAAAATACTATTTTACAACATTCAACAATAAATATAAATATATTGTTAATCTAATAAACATATAACTCTTTTTAAAACTATAATTTCAAACTTCACAAGTTTTAAATAAAAAGTTATAGTTTTACATATATTTTTTATTCCCAAATTTTTTATTTAATGTACCAAGGATTTTAAAAATATTAATACATTATTTTTCCTATCTATAACTTATTTTCATTTCTAAAATAATATATATATATATATATATATATATTCCAAAATATTACAAAACACACAAAAAAATACATTTCAAAAATATAATTTTACATAAAAATATTATTTCATCTTATATACATATACTTTTTAAGATTTTTATTATCCTCCTAATTTATTATTAATTTCTAAAAAAATATTACAATATTCAATAAATCAAAGAATTAAAAAAAATAAACCATACAAATAAAATATTTAATAATATATTTTAAAAGTATTATTTTACTACTTTCAATAATAAATATATATATATATTATTAATCTAATAAATATATAAATATTTTTAAAATTATAATTTAAAACTATAAATTTTAAATAAAACATAATTATATATATATATATATTAGTTTTTCTTTTTTAACCAAAAAAATCAATTCAGAATTCGGTTTCTGGCAATCGAATTTTAAATGGTTTGAAAAAAAAATATTCAAGTTTCGTGTATCAGGGATCAAATTCTCAACTTTAAAAAAATTATACTAAATAAATAAAACCTATAATATATTATTTGAATAATTAAAAAATAATATGTGCAACTGTAGACAAAATTTCGTCTGTTGTCGCATTGAGAGAGTATTTTATAATAAGTTGTAGATTTTTTTGTCCTACAACATATTGAACTACTTAATTAATATATAGGAATGAAATTATTAATATAACATATTATTAATCTATTTTTATCTATTATTTTTAAATAGTAATATTATTATATAATACAATAATATAGTATTTAAATATGATGGAATTTATTATATTATAATTATAATAACTAATTATTTTATTTAAATAATATTTTAATAAAAAATATTTTATCCGTATATTGATCCACTCTCTTTGCAAATTTAAAGTAATTTTCTAAAAATTGCAATTTTATCAT